TTTCCTCGTGTATTTGTGTTGTTCTATCTATAGGTATTACTTTTTGCCAGGAGCCCAGGTTTAGCGTTTTATTTTCCCCTCCCCCATTCATACCATAAGCTAGTCACGTAGTAATTGATACCGACACAAATGAATATTTACCCTGTATAGAGATTTTTGTTTCGGTTGAATTGAAAATATTAGAATATGTGCTTTTTGTGGTCTAATTGTTATTTCACTGGCAGCGAAGCAGTTAAAAGAGGGCTGTTGCTTCAACGCTGTTGAAATTTATAGTATTCAGACAAGAGAGCAAAGCGTGATGCCCCGGGAATAAAAACTTTTAGGGGCCTTTTACAGGATATCGGAATGAGTTTTGTTTAAGAACGAGTTCATCCTGTTTTTCAGTCATACCTGGTCGGACATCTTGAAAAAAAAAGGGTGACACTCAAGCAGTTTACTGCAAATTTGACATGAAAATAATTCTGATGCCTCTTTGAAAAGAAAAGGAAGCTTGAACAGTAGATATCGCAAGATCTTTGGCTATGTTACAAAAGAATACTCATGCACTAGAAGTGCAAACATCAAGTTCTGGATGCATTTGAATAGTCTGTTAACAAATGCAGACGTACAGTTATTTTAATCCCTACCAAATTATGCCAAGACTAACAAAACTTCAAGGAACAGCCGTCCTGCCTCGAAGCAGGACAGATTTTGTCAAACATAAAAATCTGAGATATCAGTGCTTAAAAGTTTTTATAATAAATTAACCAGTGCACATGAAGTTTAGGAGAGGTGAGATTGACAGCTCGTAGTTGGCAAATCACTGATTTTCTGTTTTTAGGTGCTGACGAGGGGGGAAGGCGATCTGAATGGGTGAGGATGCTTGTCGTACCCTTTTAGGGGGGGTCAAAATCAACGATCTAGTACCTTTTACGGTGTCTCAAACTTTAGTGGACTACCATAGACCTAGCTGGTACCTTTTAGGATGTTTTTCGCTCAAATAAAATACCTGAAAAAAGCATTATTAGGTCGATTTTAATGATCTGACTTGAGCCTCTAGAGCACATCGATAAAGGAGTTTTTATTTTTGGGATTTTTCAATTTTTTGTGTTTGAATTGGTACTTTTAGGGGTAGGCATCAATTGTTGCCACTCCCACACGGATAAGACTCAGGTACTTTTTATAATTTTATAGGGGTCGTTTTCGAAATTCCCGGCGCGCATCCCCGCCCTCTCATATATAGAGGTCCCCCGGGGGTGCTGAGACGTGCAGCACACTTGAAATTTAGCAAGGACAAATTTTGATGTGATTTTTGGTGGAGAGAAACAAGTTTTGTCAGCCTCTTGTAGCTGGTGCGGAAGGGCCCTTTACCACCGTGTGCAAAACTACGCGTCCCGCCAGAAGGCGGGAAGCCACCAAAGTGTTCAGACATTAGTATGGAAAATTCCGCCTCTGTCTGGATTTTTGGTAGCCTATTGACCAATTCCCAATCGAGACCTGAGTCTGACGGGACGCGTAATTTTGCACAAGGTGGTAAGTAGGCTACTTACCGGAGCCAGGTTGTATGAATTTTCCAGACGTCTTTGAGTACTATCTGTGATACACGCTTGCCAATCCTCCTATCGGCTTTTGGAATCGACTTAACCTTACCTTTACCATGGCCGAACACTTCTTTAGGCTCTCTATATCTACTATTGGAACCACGACTCCACCCAACACCGAGATTTGATCTATGAGTGGGACGAATTGTAAAATCATCGATATCTTTTGGCACCTCGATCTGAAAACTTGCAACTCCGCAAGTGACTTTTACAACTACGCAAGGGAGCGACTTGGGATATGCAACTTCGGTCTTCTCGAAAACTAAACCCAAAAGTTCCACCGGATTTAAATGAACAGCAAATCTCCATGCTAGCATGTAATATAAGACGCTTATCCAACAGATCAATTAGCTAAATCAGTATGTAGCTTGTCAATCAAACTGACTTTTGTAAACATTCTTTGACACTTCCGCCGGCAAAGGAATTATTGATGGATCTAGACACTTACGTTTTCTGAATGCTGTAATTCCTGGAAGGTTTTTTAAGATATCATGCAAAGAGGAAAAATACCCATCTCTGGGTAATTCGGAGGTTGATTAATCTTTGAATTTATGTGTCACGCTTGTCATGCAACTGTTACAATAAGATGGAGAAGACAGATAAACTGGAACTCAAATCTGGCTAGAATGTGGCAAAGCATAACGTGACCATCGAAACAACTAATGAAATCATAAATAAACAAGGTAAGAGTGTTATATTAGATTTATTTACAAATTGTAGTGATTTATGCTAGTAAACGGTAGCGACAAGTAGGCACACCATGCTAGGAGCCATTACTAAGTAATGGGGCTCCTGACCATGTATATTTCATAGAAGCTAACAAGTAAATTTTGCCGGACTTTGAGTTTGTCTCACGATGGAACAACACAAATATACAAGGACATTTTTACAATAACTTCATAACCATCCTTTTGTCAAGAGCCTCCTTTTGTCTTTTAAAAGCTATAGGAGCTCAGTAGATTCTGTCATATAGGTCATGGTTAAAACAGTCTTTGTCTTGATGTTACTTTTCGTCATAGAAAAAGTATGTCGCACAAAAATATTCACCAAAAAATAAACATTTTTTTGCCAGCTTCAATAATGACAGGGGATTGAGTTTAGATGATAAAACAAAGGGTTATGTTGACAGAAATACCGGAGGTCAAGTAAATTCGTTACACGAGGTCACACAACTCGGGTACTTGAGCGGTCAAACTAAAAAAAAATCATTTCTCGAAAACTAAAATATATTTTCACTAAAAAAACTACACCAAGATTATCAGGACATATTGGGTAACAAAATATGAAAGTAGGAGTGAAAGAAAGTTTTGGGTGACTTGCCACGGTTTGTCTGATGCATGTTGACATTAGCCCTTAAATAGAATTAGATCAAAAAAGATTACAGATATTTCGATAAGAGGTTTAAAACGTCTGAGAGGCTATATTAGGAAGTATTTCATGTATCCACACGTTTTATACCAGTACTTTAAAATACTTTATGGTGTAGTGTTGTGTATAAAAATCTGCATGGTTGACAAAGCTCATTGTATATAGTACAGCACCTTGCTTAACTCGTCACAACATTCCTAACAAGGAAACCATGCGCACACGTGCATCATCTCCTGCTCTAACATAAAATGAGCAAGTTTCATCGATAGCATTTTCTGCAAAACAGATTTACTATGGCAAACTTAATGAAAATTTTATGTCCTGTCTCGCAGGTACCTCAAGATAATTTTTCTTAAGTGGGGTCAGTGCAACTTAAATGGCTGACTTTACTTAAGCGGAAATATCTTGTTGACAGTTTCTGAGAATCGTTTCCTGAATTCTAGGAAAACAGGAAGAGATTAACATCTTTTTGAAAATATTAAGTAGTCGCTCATTTATTCGGCTCTTTGCTGTTTCGAATGATGATTCTACGGCTCCGTTACTATTATAACATAATGTTTAGCCCCAAATTTTTGTCTTATTTTCTTTCCACTCAGCCCTTATAGCTTTCATTGTTGTGACCTTGAATTGACACTTTTTCGATAGCAGTCCTCCGAGGCTCCAACAGGAAAATATTATGCACTGTTGACTTACACGGCACCGCTGGCAGGCTTTGATTGGTTAAACTGAGATTAAATAGCAAAGGAACCAATCATAAGCACTCCTAAAGAATACGTCAGCTTGTATTGAAATTTGCAGCTTTTTCGCCGATGATTCCGAGAAAAAGCTTCGCAGTTATGAGCACATTCAGCGACTTCCAAAACAACTAACTCTACGTGATCTTCAACGAAATTAAAGGTAAGCAACCGTCCGTCCACTGAAAAGGTAATTCGAACGTTTTCTTGTTGTTACTAACACCAATCATGCGCACTAGCTCTAAAAGAAATTTACAACCGGCCAAGAACGGATCTTGTTGTTCGACTGGGTGGTGGCAGTGGACCGTTCGTAGTTTTTAAACAAATTTGATATCATTAAAGATACAGGTAATCGCCTATAACCTGGATAATGTTAATCCAGAATTTTAGAAAAACGTGAATTGAATTCATTAGTCTTTAAGCAAGAGAACTCGGAGGCCTCTTCGTTTACGCTCGCTAAACTTGGAAATTTAATGCCTATGACATCGGTGTAAGAATGATAATGCATCCATCTCAAATCAAATTATTTTCCGCCAACGAAAGAACATCTTTTTACTTATCGCTTTAGACTCCTAGTACCCTACAAGTCGCTGAGTAAAGTCAGGAAATCGGAATTGCGTTATGGGTTATTCCCGGAAATTTGGCCAAGCGTAACTTCATTTCTAAGAATTCTGAATAATATCTTATGTGGTTGTTCCCTTTTTACATTTAAATAAAGTATGAAATTGTTTTCTAATCAGAAGTGGCATTCTAAGTCACAGTAACTGATAACACGGTGTTGAGAAACTCAAGAAAAACCGTCTCTTAAGCGTATTTGTCTCTTCACCTCTGCGTTCGCTTTCTGTCAGACGTATGGCGTGTCAGAATGAAGAAGAAATAATAATTACATTGATTAAAAATCAGAGGGCTCGAAACTTAATCAACCTTTACATCACTTAAGTCACCAATGCCTTACCTGAATCAATGATTCTATTAACTTTTTGCAAAGAGGCCGAGGTTGTATTTGCCTATTGATGTCAATTGGTACAAATATAGGTTGACTAAGACACATTTCACTCCTTTTGAGAAGATTTTTTCCCCCACAATGAAAGTTAAAACTGAGTCGGAGTAGTTCACAATCATTTGTGTTGGTGAAGGTGCTTCAGTAATAGCTTTCAACTGCTGTGTAAAGTTTAAACATGTTGAGTACGGAATAAAAACAATCTTACTGGTATCACACGACAAAACGCCACACAAATCACAAGAGCAGGTATAACGGATAGGTAAATGATTTTCGTTTTGAATTTTTTGGTATTAACTCATTTTATAGTGAAACAACATGAGCGAGAACGTTGGCGTCCTGGAAGTGCGTTCTGTCGGGCAGCCATTTCAGTTGGGAATGCTGTACGACTATCGTCGTCACCACCTTGTTACAGGGCCAGCATTGTGGGAATCTGACATCCAAACGAAGATCTCCTCCTCACGCATCTCCCCAGAGTCTAAGTACGAAGTCTTCCCAAGCGGGAACGTGGAAGAGATGGCAAAGGTTTTTGGTATCGACTCTAACTTAAGACTGAGTTTGATGACAGGATTGGTCAACCCATATGGAATTGGAAAGTTCATCATTGATGGGGATCCCTCAAAGAAGAACAATCTGGTTCGCATTATTCTCAAGTATGAAACCATATCAAGATTTGAAGAACTTAGCATGGATCAAGCAAAGACAGAGCCGCACAGAGACCTAAGCTCAGAGATGACAGCTACTCACTTTGTATCGCGTATAGAATATGGCAGAGAAGCAATTTTCGTCTTCGACAGAAGATTAGACGAAAACGAAACATTTACCGATGTCGAAGCCGACCTAAAGTTTGCTGTTGAGTCGTTGTCCCAAACTGGGGTGGAAAGTAATGGATCTGCACATGCAACAGAGCTAGACGAGGAGGAAATGTGTAAACTTGTTTGTACTTTTTATGACGATAGAGACCAGACCAGTTCCACCGGTGGTATGAGTTATGAAGATGCTCTGCGGGCCTACAGTGAACTCAAGAAAAAGGAAGAAAGCCATGTGTATGAAGTTCCTAAAAGGGTTTGGCTCCAACCATTGAGCACTTTGAACCCACAACTAGTGCGGCGAGTGCGAGAGGTTAGCCCTCATGTGACTGACGTTTTGCAAAACGTCTTGGCAAATTTCAACGAGTTTGAAACGAGTTTATGTGGCCTCGTCGATGATAACTCATGTTCCACCTTTCCTATAATCAAACAGCGAATTGCAAGATGCGGAAAAGCGGTTTCCAGGTACAAAAAGAACATTCTTAAGACAATTTCCGAAATGTTGCCAGTGGTGCGAGGAGGTGATGAAGAAGAGCAAGTAATTACCGACGTTCTCAACATAGTTGCGTCTTCTCCGTTTCATCACGACCGCCTCTCGTCGTGGATCAGTGGCATGAAGAAAGAGATGAAACTGTTGTCCATGTACCTGGAATTCTTTAGGGGAATCCAACTGGTAACGACTTTGCAAGATCTTGACAGTGTGATCAATTGCTTGGAATATGATCAGGTTGTTTCCTTTTCCCTGATGACGGCTGGGAATGAAGATGCACTGGTTGAACAAATGCATACATTCCTACGAACTGGCAGTTGGACACCGGAACATCTCTCACCTCAACCTTGGTATGAAAATCCTAAAATAGTTAATGAAGGCAAGGCTAAGGCAAGAAATTTCAGGGATTTTGTCCGGGAAAATGAACATGACGGGCGTACAAAGTTCATCGTCACAAACGTTCAGAAGGGCACAGGCGATGGAATTCTTAGTGTCCGTTTGTATGATGGCGGTCAATCTACGGATTTTGAACTTCCCGGTGGACCTGGAAAGCCTTTTGCAACTCTGACAAGTGCCTCCAGTATCACTCTACGATGGGAAGAGTCTCCACACGGAAAAGAAACTGTCAAGAGTTACACAGTGCACTTCAAACCTTCTGTTGGCGATTGGAAGTTATTGCCCACTGTAGGACCAGAGAATACGATCACAGTTGATGGATTGAAGGCAAAAACTACCTACCTTTTCAAGGTGAACAGCGAATGCAAAGCTGGTAGAAGTACTGTAAGTGCCACCAGCGACAGTGTTGTCACTGAAGATCCCGTGAATAAACCCGAATCAGACCTCCTCCACGAGAAGAAGAGTGAGTCATCCTCAAATAAACAGAACCGCAGTCTAAATAAAGCTAAGGCTAAGGATTCATCGTCCTCCAAGTCCAGAGACAATGTCGAAGGAGCAAAAGGCGGTGAAGCAATCAGCCGAAAGAACCTAGAAAATCCCGCAAGCAAGCCAGATAGTAAATGGACTAGTAGTGCCTCGCAAAATAGTAAAACCTCCCATGACAAGGCCACAAATTTTTTTGTTCCTTTTAAACCAGCTGAGGTTTTGCTCCCCTCCTCGAAGAAGATTAAAGATGGCACTCCGTCACTTTACAAACTCCCAATGATCACAAGAATGAGAAGACAAAACAGCATGATTGCCAAACAAAGCATGGGAAAGCCCCCCAAAAGAGTTAAAGGAGGAACTTCCGAGAAAGTTCTCATGGTAGTGGGAGCTACTGGAGCTGGTAAGTCGACGTTGATCAATGGCATGGTGAATTACATTTTGGGAGTAGAGTGGAAGGACGATTTTCGGTTTAAACTCATCGTGGAGGACAAAAGTGTATCTCAGGCTTACAGTCAGACGAAGAACATCACTGCTTACACTATTCATCCCCAGAAAGGTTCAGCCATTCCATACACATTTACAATAATTGATACGCCAGGGTTTGGTGATACAGAAGGTCTGAGGAGGGATAGGCTCATTATCAGTCAGATTAAGGAGTTCTTTTCCATCCCCCCACCAAATGGTATCGACCACCTTGATGCAGTTGGATTCGTTACACAAGCTTCCCTAGCACGTCTCACTCCAACGCAAGAGTACATCTTCAACTCAGTCCTGTCTATATTTGGAAACGATGTTTCCAAAAATATCTTTATGATGCTGACCTTTGCAGATGGCCAACATCCCCCAGTTCTTGAAGCCATCAGTAGAGCCAGCATTCCAAGTGACAAGTACTTCAAATTCAACAATTCCGCCCTTTTTGCCAAAAACAAAGAAACGGAAGAGAGCTTTGATGCAATGTTTTGGAAGATGGGTCATCTCTCCTTTCAGAACTTTTTTGCTGAGTTTGCAAAAGCAGAAAAAGTTAGTCTTCGACTAACTAAAGAGGTGTTGAATGAACGTGAACAGCTTCAAACCTTGATTGAAGGGCTGAACCCTCAAATTACAGTGGGCCTCAACAAGATTGAAGAAATGAAACAAGAAGAGCTTGTTTTACAACATCATGTCAGCGAGATTGAAACCAACAAAGATTTCACTTATGAAGTTGTTATAACAAAGCCAAATTATATCGATCTCAAAGGAACTGGGAGACACACCACCACCTGCCTAAAATGCAATTACACGTGCCACCAGGATTGTCAGATTGCTGATGACTCTAGCAAGCGTGGCTGTTGGGCCATGAATAGAGCAACTGGAAATTGCAGAATTTGCACGTTAAACTGCATCTGGTCGGATCACAAAAACCTTCCTTATATAATCGAGTACGAATCAGTCGTGGAAACCAGAACTTCTGCCGACCTGCAAACGAAGTATGAAAGAGCCGTTTCAGGGAAGTCTAAAATCGAAGGCATGATCGAACAACTTGAGGAATTTCTTCAAGGTGTGCACAGCAGTGTAATGACCATGATAAACAAAGCACAGCAAAGCCTTCGTCGGCTGGATGAAATTGCCCTGAAACCCAACCCATTGACTCAAGTGCAGTATCTGGAGCTTGTCATAGAATCTGAGAAGAATGAAGCCAAACCCGGCTGGAAACAACGCGTGGAATACTTCGAAGAAGCCAAACGTCACGCGGAGATATTATCAAAAGTTAAAGATGTTAAAGCAGGAGAAAAAATTATCCAGGAGAAGGCTCGAGGTGGAGAAAGGTGGTTTTCCCGATTTAAGTTTTGGTGATTTCAGGTATGTATAGGATAGTCTGTTTCATTTATTTCACCTAAAAAACTGAGTTAGATTCACTTGCCTCTCTCTCTCATATCGTGTAAGAGTCCTAGACTGCATTTTGGTTACTCTGTAACAGAAAAAAATCTTCTTACACCTGATGCTAGGAAAACTTCAGATAACCGCAAATCTTTTGTTTTTGAGAAGCACCAAGAGCAATGAGCAAGCATTTTATGCAGCCATCAATCATGGCTCGGTACAATTCAGGAAACAAGGTCATACATTTTGAAGAGTAAGAAAATTCACGTTAAGGTGCTATGATTGGCGGATGTAGATCCATTTTGCTTCCGTTGTCATAGTGATTTAAGACAGCATGAAACGTAATAAATGCTAGGCATTCACTCGTAAAAATGACAAGTTCGATTTTGCACCTCAGATCTTGCGTGCTGCTGAATAGTTCTCTCTTTGAGTTCTGGCTCACAATATTATTTTGACGGCACCCTTTCTTCCTTGAAAATGAAAGTGGCAACGATAGTATTATCAGGTTGGGAATAACGGTCATGCTCCTTTCTTTTTTAGCAACTCAAAAATTGTAACAGCCCGCCCGTAGAGATGCGATATAGCTGTCTTACAAGCCGCTTGACTTGGAATCAACTTGACATGAAGCACGAATATAATGGACATAGAAAAAAAAGGATATGTCTAATGATATGGAACTTTAAATATAAGAATCTCCTGGACGTGAACTAATGTGTTTCATGAATTTCGAATTCCTACCGTGTGTGTCTTTTGTTTAGAAAAGCCAGCCACGTAAATGAAGTCTCTATATCAGAAGGAAGCGATCATAACAGTAAAATGACCGGAACTTCCTTAAGAATAGCATTTGTCGCCTTCGAAGGACAGCTCCCCGAATCCCTGAGAGATGGCATCACATCATGTCAGATTTTTTTTAGCTTCTGATGTATATCCAGCAACTGGAGGCAATTTCTTGAAGTGAATTATTCGTTTCCTTGATCAATACACTTTTCCATTTTATGAATTATTTCTTATTTGTATTTGTGGTTTAAGCACGACCCACAAGTACCTTGCGTTGTATGCAAGATTAGGTAACAAGAAAAATTGAATTTTTTTAAGAACATCAGTTAAAAAAGCTGAAGCTAGTTTTAAAGGAATTAGACAAGTTTCACGGCCTTTTAAAGTGTTCCGTGGCATGGGTAATGATTGATAAGCTCGTTAGCCTTATTGCATAAGAATAAAAATCGGTCATAACGCCGCTGACATGGTGAGATAATGTCTTGAAACTGATCTCTTGGACAACTTTTCACCTCATTCTTACGGAAAAAAACAGGGGAATAGTCTTAAACCTTTTTGCGGGCTTTGTATATGACTGGCCGATTGGAACACGCAAAATGTTTTGAGCTCGAAACGATGTAAGAGTTGCCTGAAAGAGGGGATGCTAACTGAAGCCTCGCCGACCCCTTTCAATTAAAGTGTTTACTTACCACAGACAGGCACCTTAGAACTTACGAGCAGGTGGAGGAGTATTACGATGAAAGCAGAGAGCTTTATTTCTGACAAAGCTTATCAACATTCCTATATTTTTCGGACTGTGATATTTGTTGTGAGAGTAGGAGGTAGCTTTGGAAAATCAAGAGTTCATTTTATTTTGATCAAAGTCCATTGCAAAAGTTTTGGGCGTTAGTTCTTTAAAATGGTTCAAAATTCCCGATTCTGGGGAAAAATTGCCGTTCCTCATCTACCTATCTCAATTTCGTTCGCCGCTTAAAACCCGCTGCAACAAAAAAAGACGCTTTTCCTGAAGGAAAGAGCAGGGAAGGAAGCCCTTGATTATCATAGGTCCTATCCGTCACAAAAATCATCGGCACTATTAGCCAAGTCCTCTTCTTTCTCTAACGAGAAGGGTTATTGCTGGGATACCTGTGGTAGCCCAGTGATAAAATGCCTTTGTTTTTTTGTCGTCTTTTTTTTTTTTTTTTTTTTCCTCCGCCACAATATGGCAAAATTGCGCAATAGTACCCAGAGGTCATTGGGCCCTCGACACCATGACAACTAACTGTGATCCAATGAGGTGTTCACATGCTGATCACGCGTGTTATCCCTCGACACCATGACAGCTAACTGTGATCCAATGAGGTGTTCACATGCTGATCACGCGTGTTATCTTGATGATGATTGACGCTGTCATGCACAGACAGGGCCGGGTCACATGACGAATCACGAGATTTTGCTTATAAAACTCTTTGGTCAGTTATTTTGTATTTCAACATATTTGGATTGCGATATCCCGGAGCATTATAGCGCAAACGCGCAAAATATTTACAGACGCATATACAAGTATTATTAATCGCGGCTAATCCACACTGAAAGATGTTATTGAGCGGTAATTTTGGAACGGATTGAGTCGCGAACGCTTAAAAGCCATGAAAGCCTTGAATGCCTTGTATGCTAAGTATGCCAATGTCTTAGTTGAAAACGTTCACTTGTTGTAAAAAGCAAAATCTGAAATCTGAAACCAAACTGCATATACTTTATGCAATTTATTGAACAACACTACTACCGTGAGACTGAAGAACATAACTATAATAGATGCAAACTGCTTGTGAAGAAAGACGACATGTTGGATTCACTTGATGTCAAGGAACGTAGCTACGATAACAGTACGAATGGTATTCATTTCACGATCAGAAAGGTGAATCTTATATTTGTTTTCATTGTAGTTGTATGGATATTCTTTTTTAATAAATACGTGATCCAAAACCCTGTGTTTTTTTGTGTATAATGTTATTATGTTAATATTGTTTACGCAATTGTCTTGTCACAGGCGGCCCAAGCTCACGTCTCGAGAAAAAGCCAACGATTAATTCATGAACGCGTCACGCATTGTGTGACTCGATGTTAAGTTACGGGAGGAACTGCACGTTGTAAGGAATAGTATAGGGAACGAAGTATGGTCGATTTACAACGATACATATTTCGAAATATGAACATTTTTCTCGTAAAATCAATAAAACTTACTCATACCCTGTGTATCCGTTGTATTTTCTGGCGATTTCTACCGTTTTAAGCTTGCTTTACCATCACTATTATTCACGTCATCTACTTTTATTATGTTGGTAAAATCTGTACGGACATCACACCAACCAACTCGCGCGCAAAGTTAGAAGACTATGTTGAAGGCTTGAAATAATATTGCGATCGATTTTCATCAAGAAATGGGCCAGGAATATTCCACAACAGTGCAAATTATCGTGAAGGCGGTCGCAGAAAGGGATTGCGTGACGCTCGGTAAGCTGTAAGATGACATGTTATTATATACCAGACGTAAAAACTCTTCAGATTCTTAGTTTGCATTTTGTACCCAGTCTACAGTCTATCCGGTCTGCAGTCTGCTGTCTGCATTTTGTACTAACAGGTATCCATGGCACCAATACAGTTTATTTTTGGTTACATTTATTCGCAAAACACACATAATCTATCACAAAATACCTGTGAGTGTGGTAATTCGACATTTTCGTTCTTTCCCACATTAATATTCTTCTCTCCTTTTGTAAGAATGTAGACATCACTCACAATGTTTCAAGTAATCCACCCACCCTACAAAAAAGTAACTCTTGCATGCATAGCATGCCTATGTTTTGAAATAGGTGTATGCCCTTGGCCAGACTTGAGCGAACTATTTCAGTATACTAGTCCGACACCCGTAGTATCACTACACTTGATTCCAAGGATCCAGTACCATCCAGGTATCCCAGTACCCTGCTCACAGGGTCTAGTTGAGCAAGTTCTCGAAGTAATTTGTAGCACTATCTCACCCACTCCACCCTCGTCATAGTCCTACTTAGCACTGAATGTCGTCACTTCCGCTCAATCATTCTGATGCTCGCAATTTCACAACGCATGCGCATGATTTGTTATGAACCAGAGAAAAATCCAAGATGGCAGGAGACGGCGACCGAGAGATGGTCCTCGCAAACTTTCAGGTAAATCGCTAATTTTTCCATATTTCTTCTACCTCTTCCTAAGTGCGAGTTCCTCTTATATTTTCTCAACAGAGTATAACGGGAATCGAGAATTTGGATGAATGTATTACACTCCTGGACCATCACAATTGGGACTTGACGGTTTGTGATTATTTCCCTCGAGTTTTTTTTGAGATGTCCGTTGTCTCTTGTTTTATTGGCTCTGATTCGTCTATTTTACTGTGTAACGATTTTAGGCATGTGTGAATTCAGTCCTAGCCGACGAGACGGATTCGCCTTTACGGTTTGTGTTGTTTATATGCTTTATATCATGTCATGTCTTATATAGTAATAAAGAAATTCAGCTTAATTAAATGATGTGGTTTGAATCTAGATATTTCCCGAATGGGAATTGTACGCAATCCTAGATTTTCTTCTAAACAATCTGTCATAATCACATTCGATATTCCTTTTATAGATCCTAGACCTTCTATAGATGGCAAAATTGCTTTCGTGTTACTTTTGATCGACTGAATCTCTAAGCGCGTGATTCGTAGAAAGTTTAATAAATGATAATTTACATGTAGACAATGTTACATGGATCAATTATTTTAATGAAAGAGTTAATTATTACCGTGACTTGTCACAAAATACCGAACGTGAACATGAAGGCAGTTTTGTAAGACTGCAGAGAAATTGTAAAGTTATTCAATCATCCTTCTAATTATTCCTTTGCAAATGTTGCTGAAAAGTATTCAAAGAAAAATCCCCAGTGACTATCAATAATATTTTTCTCATATCTACAATTCCTCATAATGGGGAAATAATTGCTGACTAATTTCAGGGCATGTGGCCTCTTTTCTTGACCAAGAGAATGTCATCCATATCAAATAAACTCCTTACCAAGTTCTAAATCACTCTAAATCAAGTTGAGTTTCTTTAACAAGAATGCAGAAAAATTACCTTGGTATTAAACTTACAAATCTCTTCAGAATGAAGACCTTTTTGATAATTTTATTAGGTGGTGCAGACATCTTGACATTGCTGCAGACCAACAGTACATTTTCTTAGGATTACCCCTGCATGCTTGATAGTAGTGGAATACACGATAAGCAATGTAGAGAAACCTTAATTTCATTTCAATGTCTCTCTTTTTTCTTCCTTCGTTTTGATAAACTCTCCTTGCTCTCATGGTGTCAGCCTTGTGTGGATAATAATAGCATTTACATAGAGATGATTGATAGTCCTATAATTGGCGACAAAAATGTTAACAAAGTGAACTCGTTAACCTGCTATCACTTCAATTTTATCTCTATTGACCTTGTTAAGTCAACCTATCTGCCCCCTCCCCCCTAAACAATGTTTTATCATGATTCCATGAACCTTTAGCTACGTAAAGGTAACAATGAATGGGTAGGGGGGACGGAGGGTCTTGTCAATTATTTAGAGTGTGGTAGAAACAAGAGTATTATTCTCCAGATAAATAGTACCCTTCAAATATTATGTGTCAACTAATTTTGATGCTTATTGTAGGTTCACCCAATTTACTGTCTTTTTATTACAATCTGTATAATATACATCATTAGTTTGTGAAAATGATGTTTAAATGTAAGCTCTTTCTTAGACCACTTTACTCCAAGAAAGGCTCAATAAAGAGCTCTAGATGAAGGGCTTTTGACAAAGCAACAACCTTACAACTTTAGAAAGAGTTTATTCTTTAAATGTCATGTTTTTACAATCCACCATGGGGCTTAACTTCAGCATTTATGTCTAGCTGATTACTAACCATTCTTTTTTCACTCCTGTCACATTGACAATCTTGAGGCACTTGCTAATTTTTTTTATACTCTCCTACACCATTTAGCATGCCAGAGGCTCCTGTACCCGATGCTGCTTGGGTTACAGACCAGTTTTCAGGTGGTTCTACGATATCATCAGTTTCTGTTGGGGAGGTTATTGGAAATGCAATCCCTTTACAGCCATCCTCAAGAAGAATAAAGTTTCTGATTGAGTGGAAAGAAAGAACTATTCCAATTGTGTTAGATGAGACTGAAACTATAGGTACAGTTGATGTTGTTGTTGAAGTATTAAACCCTTGAACTCCCATGAGTGACTATGACAGGAATTCTCCCTAAAATTTCAATACAATATCAAGCAGACAAGTGATGAAAGTTAAGAAAAATAACAGTTAAGAATGACTAGTTGATCAAATACCAAATTCTTCAAACTTATAAGAGAATTGTATGGCAGACAGTAAGGAGAATTACTAACGAGATCTTGGGAGTGAAGATTTTAACCCACCATCTTAAGTGACCAGCATGTAACTTCACCTCACAAGATTCAATGGAGGCAGAAGGGAGAATTTATGATTGCAGAATCTGATGTTGGAATTGACCCTCTAACTCCTTAAAGTGATCGACTTGTAACTTCTCCTTATCCAGCAATTAGGTAATTAGAATACTCAAACCTATCAGGTAGAAGTTCTTACCTTGATCTAACACTAAATTCTTGTGACTAATTCACAAGGAAATGTATAGCAGCCAGAGAGGAGAATTAACAATCAGATCTTGGGAGTTAAGGGGTTAAGGATTAATCCCAAAACAGTTTTAAATCCTGTGGTGTAATGACTAGTTTATAATCCTTGGTTAATCTTCCATCTCTTCATAAGAACCTCACAGATGGCATCTATTCCTGCCTGTACTTGTGACTCAAAGTGTATTTTATTTGTCTCTTTAATTCAGGTACAATCAAACGAATGCTAGAGATGCAGATTGGTTTACCAATGGACCAACAAAGTCTTTTAGGTTGGCCACACCATCTGCAGATAAGTGATGAGGTAAGGTTTATACCAGTGTTAAAATACACAAAGATGGTTTTTTTTCTTTCAAATTTACATGTAGTTAAAAGACAAGTTACAAACTTAAGTTGTAATCACCACTTGCTCAGCAGGTATGTTTCATCAGCCCTTAGTCAATACCAGGCTTTTGTGGAACATTCTCGCTATATTTACCCTTTACACCCTTATATCAGTATGCATATTCTCCTTACAGTTCATCATACATTTTTTAAGGTGCTGACAAGGAGAATTTGTTTAACAATCAAGAGCTTCTTTAGTTAGTGATCATTTCCTTTATTCTCATGACCTTAATGTTTGTTTTAGGGCTAATACTGATAGGGGAAAATAGTTACTAATCACTCCTAGGGGTTAAAGTGTTAACCAGCTTTATTGCATGTATGAGGTTCTCAAGCAAGGTGGTAGTGATTGCCTTGAGCTGTTTTACAGTTGTCATTTTCCTACACCCTACACTACTTAACCCTTTCCCCACCCTGACAGTTCTAATCTGTGCTGATGGGTGCCTGGAATGGTAACTTATGGCTGGATGGCAGGGAAACCAATGATGTAAATTTTATCAGGGTCTGATTGAACACAGTGAGAACCCCTGGAAACCCTAGGCATGTACCTTCCACTTACATGTAAGCAAGGTGGTTGGTTAACAGCCAAGAGTTACTCCCAATTAATTTAGACTATAACAAGTAGAACCTTCCTAAACCCCTCCAATGTATTTCATGCACTGCTTTTGATAGTATAATATTCCTCACTGGTTGTTCTTGAATCTCTCCTCTGTAGAGTGTGCTGAGTACTTTAAACTTAAGAGAGGAGACAGCCCTGGTTTTGATGAGCTGTGTGGTGACAGAGACACCTAAAGAAAGTCAACCATGCTCTTTCAAAAGAAGTATGAATGGTGAAACTAGGTAATGATATCAAATCATCAGGGCCCAGTTGTATAAAGGATGGATAACGCTATCCAACAGATAAATCTCTATTGAGTGGATAAGTGATTGCAAAACATACTGCACTATCCACTGGTTAGAGATTTGTCTAGGGGATAGGGTCATCCAAGCTTCAAACAACTGGGGCTAGATGAATATTTTCTGGGTATAATAATAAATGAACTCAATTCTTACTCTTTAGGCTTCAAAGAGCACCAATTGCCAAATGTTGAACTTTAACCCTTTAACTCCCAGAAGTGATTAACATAAAACTTCTCCCTACAATATCCATACATTATTCAGCAAACAGGTAATGAGAATATTCAAACTTATCAGGTAGAAGCTGTTATCTTGATCTAGCACCAAGTTCTCATAACTAATTTACAAGCAAATGTGTAGTAGCCACTGGGGAGAATTAACAATCAGATCTTGGAAGTTACAGGGTTAATGCAACAGATTTTCAGTTTTGCAAATGGTTCAGAAATATGATTCGGTATGATTGGGTCAAAAGTGTTTTTGGTCAAAATAAAGTCTTGAAAATCTTGTTCAATTTCTGGTACTGCATCATAAGTTTGTTCAAATATCCACCATTGCATGGAAGAGTTGGTGACAAAAATTTTTAAATGCAGGTATTCAGTAGACAGTATACTTTGTTGGAGAACTTCATGATTGTAATCTTCGTGCAACTTTTGATGATTATAGCATAGAAAGCTTTTTGTAGACTTACACCCATCCTGATTTATTCTAAACAGTATGCCTAAGTTACCAGGGACTGTTCTGAAGCACATTTTTAAATAAAATTAGAGCTTAGGACTTCATCAATCATGAAACAGATTTCCTCTTTTGCTCCAGCTCATCCTCAAGAAGCTGTAACTCACTGGAAAAGATCATGTTAAACATTCAGTTTGGAAGTAGCGAATTCAACTTACCTTATGCTTTAACAAAGACTATAGGAGAGGTAAGTTACAATATGCATATACAAGTTAATTATCATGATTTGACACATCCCACCCAACATGCGCAATCTTGTAGCAAACTATGATGAAAGTTGACATGTGCAAAGCCACACAGGTTGATGCAAGCCAGTTCAGAGAAAAACAAAATTTTTGAAAGTTTGGCTCTCAGTTCATAAGTTATGACCAAGAGCCAAATATTTTCCTATCCAGTCTTCCCAATAAATACTTAATATTTTAATATATATCAAGTTTATACATGTTCCTAGAACTCTAGAGCACTCATGAATGTTTTTAGTTTTTTTGTCATAAGTATCAAATTTTCAACTTGTTTAATAATGACATTTTATGATGCTTTTGTGTTTTTAAGGTTAAGGCTGATATTCTCTCACTGTCTGGTGTTCCATGTAGACATCAGTGTTGGTCAGGTTGGCCTGATGGTGTCACTGATGAAGTATGTATACTTAATTAACACTGCATTGTATCAGTTCTTGACTCTTGGTGACCTAGCAGAAGGTCTTTTCACTGAATTATTATCATCAGAGGTTGATTGCACATAGTCCCTTCCCCTGCAGCTTCTTGTGTGTCTGATCTACAGGTAGTTAGTGTTTTGAGTAGAATTGGCTCATGAAATTGTGTGATACAGAGGTTGATACCCCTTTTAATTTTTTTTCTCCAGTGACAGTACTTGATTTAAATTTGAACCTGATTGGCAGAAAAGATTGTGCAGTTTTACAGGACCCAGCACTCAGGGAACTAAAGCACAAACAAACCAATCCTGGATTACTTTAATTTGTCACACAATTGAAAATTGCTCTGTAGTGACATTGTGTTTCTATCATAACAACTAGGAATTCTTGATTGATATTGTCATTTCAGATGAGCCTTGCAGAAGCAAATTTGTCATTTCCTGTGCACAGCTTAAGAATGAATAATGGAAGGGAGGATGGTCCTTCCAAAGTCAGAGAGGTAATTACAATTATTATCGTTGATTATTAACCTTTTGTTCTCAAGATCTTGTTAGTAATTATCCTTTTCCTGTACTTTCTGCTCTACAATTCTAATACTATAGCGTAAAGGGTTTTCCCGATGATAAACCTAAACAATGTGTTTTTACCCAAAAGGATAAGGGTAAGTCTGTCCAAGAATTAACCCTTTAACTCCCAAGATCTCATTAGTAATTATCCTTACTATCTGCCATACAGTTTTTGTGATGTTAGTTTGGATAATTTGGGATTGGATCAACTTATAATCCCCTAATTGATATTTTTCTTTATTCTCATCACTTGTCTGCCTGATATTGATACTGTAAGGAGAAATTCTTTTTTGATCCCTCATGGCAGTTAAAAGGTTAATGAAATGATTATTTTCCTCAGACTAGAAAACCTAAACAAAAACATGCAGACGTTGATATGGATGGGAATGACAGCAGTGACAATGAAGATCCTTCTTTTCACGTTGATGACGATGACGACATGTTTTGTGATATTCCAACATCTAGAAGACAAATTAGTACGATGTGTAAGTAAATGGTGTTCACATAGTTGTTTCTTTTCCTAAACACAAACATTTGACCAGCAGATGTACATGTACTGGTAAGGTCCAAAGCACATATGAAGTAAGGTTTACCTTTCGAGCATGCTGTATAGGAAAAAACCTTTGAATTTCTTATTGTTTCAAGATGGGGAGTGTTTTTTTCTTTTTCACTTGACTGTGCTGGTCCTATTTTAGCAAAACCCTTGAACCCTCAAGACTGACCAGCATTTAATTTCTCCTTACAAAATTACCCATGAATCATGCATGAAGGTCACAAGAATAAAGGAAATTATCACCAACTAGAGAAGCTCTTGATTATTAAACAAATTCTCCTTGTCAGCACCATAAGAAATGTATAGAGAATACATGTTTGCATGCTTATGTTAGGATGGAGGGGCTAAGTTATCTCATAAGATGATTGATAACTTTGTTATTATCTCTTTTTTTAAGTGAAAGAAAACTGTACAGACACTGCTGAAAATTTAGTTAAGTTTACAGCTCAGTTTGAAGAAAGGTAAAATTTCCTTTCCTATCAATAATTTTTGTGTACACCAGTAATTTGAGGTAAATCACGCAGATACTTGCTCTGAGTCAATGTGTTGCATGGAACTGACTCAGAGTCCTAAGAAGCATCTTTCATCTGAAATCTCAGTAGGTTTAAAAGGAAAATATTCAGACAAGTTTCAGAGACAAAAGTTTTTTCCAAGTTGGAAAAAACTGTTACTTAAACCTCACTATTACCCCTAGTAATGCACCACCAATAATGGCAGAATAATTTTAACAAGATCGTCTAGAAATAAGGCTATTCACAAGGTTTTTACAAGTCCTGGAAAACCTGGAAAGTCGTGGAATTTTATTTTGACATTTTCCAGCATTGTTAAGTCCTGGAAATAGACTACAGGTCCTGGAAAGTCCTGGAAATCTGCCTAACTCAAGCAGTTTCTGAATTTAAGAAATGTTTGTCGACTGTCAGGAGTATTGAGTTTGATATTGTGGGAATGAAAAGGGTTAAATTTTGAGTCCTGGAAAAAAAATCAATCTGAGTTCTGGAAAAGTCCTTGAAATTTGTTTCTGAAAAAGGGTATAAACCTTGCATTCATTGCAGGATGGAGGATGGAAGTGTTATATATAATAGTAGCAACATCTTTCAAAAATCAATTTAAGTGCTGGTTTGACAAATTTCCAAGCTTGCAAACATAAGACAAGATGGCACACTTTGTGACCTATATGGTAACCACTTATGATCCAGATCTTTATCTTAGATAACACCTTTCTATTTTTCACCTGTGTATATCACAGTGCCAACTTTCCAGTATGGCTTTTTGTGGTGTTACTAACTGACCAGTTAGTAACACTTTAATGCCTAAAATCTAATTGTTAACTCTCCCCTCAAGCTATTACACATTTCCTTGTAAATTAGTTATAAGAACTTGGTGGTAGATCAAGATGGCAGCTTTTACCTGATAAGTTTGAATATTCTCATTACCTGTTTGCTGAATAATTTATGGATATTATAGGGAGAAGTTACATGTTAATCACTTCTGGAATTTAAAGGGTTAAGTTGAGTTACACTTCAACAATATTTTGAAAGTTGTCTTGTTGTTTTATCAGGTATGGTGAAATACATCCTCATTTTTACATGGGTCCACTTACTGAAGCTATACAGGAAGCTGGTGGAGCCTCAGCTAAAGAGGTATGTACTAGTAAGGCTAGCTGGAATTGTCTCTAACCGAGAAATGTGAAAACTTTGCTTTGTAGACAAAAGAGGTAGGAATAAACCAGGAAAGAAGTAAGGATGTTTAACGGAAGCAAAGGTTGACTTGATTTCAAGTAGTGAATTTTTGAAAATTCAGGCTAAAATTTGCAAGATGCACAACTTGTTTCGTAGTTACTGTATCTTTTAATCTTCCTTTGTATTTGTATAAAATGAGTTCTGTGGATTTGTTTTTTGCTATTGTTGTTTTGGTATGGATTTTTGCTTAATTTGAATGGTTATGGTCCTTTTTTTTTTAGAGGAGACCGTTACTTCTTTATTTACATCACGATGGTAGCATCTTAACAAATGTATTTTGTAGGTGAGTACTGCTACTGATCCTCGATTGTCGATACTCGATTCTCGACAGTTTCGAGTATCGAGGATCGAGTTTCGAGTCGAGAATGTGAACTTCATTTTGAGCTTTAAGTATTGTATTGTATATTGAACTCCTCTCAACGTGTAAAGGGGTTAAGTTTTTAAAGAAACTGTGGTGCTGCGGCGGTGGAGAGTATAACAGGTAATTTGGTGTTAACAACTGAGTTGAAAACGTAAATTGGCCACCGTAAAGAGTTTAAAGGCTGACGTTTCGAGCGTTAGCCCTTCGTCAGAGCGATCTCAGAACAGATCCCCTTGACGTGGTAGATTCTCTTCACTGATCACCACACTATGCCTCGCATTTCAAAGTAATTCTCGAGTGCGTGTTGAAAAAAATATATATTTTTGCTTTTCTTTGCCCTGTTATTGGTCTGGAAAAGTCGCGTCATGCTCTGAGCCAATCCGATGAAAATCTTAAATCACCCTTGAATTGGACACTCAATTCCCTGCGCATGAAGCTGGTTAAATCGTTTGAAAGCACTCGGTTGTTGAGAGTGCTACTTACAAGACTGGCTTGATTTTAAATGCACATCGACTTTTTTTTTCTCGTCTTTCAGCCAGTTGATATGCTCAGACACTATTGTGAACTACATCAGTGGTAATTTTGTCGTGTGGGCCTGGGACATGACTCATGATACAAACAGAACAAGGTGGGTATACAAAACAGAGTCATTTCAGAAAACTTGTGTAGACTTTTGTCACAATCGTGCAACAAAGAGAAAATCTGGGTTCTCTATATAGCTTTGCTCCCAAGACCATCTGATTTTTCCGTCCAATGCTCTACTAACTAAGCCACAAAGTACTCCTTTGTGAGCGAAGCCATATGCGAGATTCATATGTTTCTGGGTCTGTGATTCTTTCTTGAGTCATTCATCATTGTAATCGAAGCTAGCGTTTTTTGGCGCTCAATTGTTTGACTTTGGTTTGCGACACCTTTTATTGTTCAACCAAACCCTCTACTGCTTAAGTAGTGTTCATTACTGCGAAGATTGCATTCAAATTCACTTGTTAAACGGCAGTTCATATATATGATTTTCGTATATTTACAGGCATTGATTCATTAATTTACGGGTTTATTAGAAACCAACGTAATAACCAGCTCTTAGCTTGCTTGTTAGCTCAATTGATAGAGCACTGCACTAGTATCTTAGAGGTCATGGGTTCAAATCCCGTACAGGCCTTATTTTCACTACTGCTTAAGTAATGTCCATTACCAAGTTACTAAATTTTACATCTTTACTTGAACTTGGACTGTTCATGAAAACCTAGAAAATCTTAGGATTTAAGAGTTTCATTTTCCAGGTCTTGCTGTTTTTGTATGTTTCCTGTAAGGTCTAAAGATAGATGCTGTTCCCATATTTGGAAAAAAAAAAAGATTTTAAAACAGTAAAAGAGAGGACTGTTTTCACGTTTTATTGTGTAAAGGCACTCCAAAATTCTCCGATGCGTGATTAAAAAGCTGATCAACACTTAAATAGTTTAAGTTGCTGCAACGTCTACAGACAAAGATTTAATTACGTTACTATTACCGAAAAATGTGAAAAACAGAAATCAAAAATCATCGTCAGCCTGAATTAGTTTGATCGCTTTTTGAGCAATCGTTGGAGTCCAAGAAGAGGTCATGCAAAGTCCAAGTCGTAAGCAGCTAAAGCGCAGACCCTATTTTAAACCGCTCTTCTTTACTTTTTGAGCTCAAAACAAAAGTATTTCCTTCATTTTGATGCAGATTCTTGGACATGGTGACGCAGCACTTTGGTAGTGTGGCCGCTAGCACTGTCAGGGGGTTTGGGGCCGAGCAGTATCCTCTTCTTCTAGTTGCTATGAAAAACAGATCAGCGATGGAGATTTGTTCAGTTCTTCAAGGTACAAACTAGTGCTGTTTTTGTTGATTTAAATGTGAGAGCGGTAATGAGGGCTTGCCTGCGTTTCGTGAATTGGTTAGTCCCAAACTGAGCAGAAATGTTTTTTTTTACTGTTAGGACTAAGTGTTTAAGATCTGATACGGTCTACGTTAAGATTTGCCTTGCATTGTTTATAATTACCACTTGCCAACCGAGCTCATGCTCCTCAATGTTAGTTCGAACCTAAGCGCTTGGTTCATAAATCGACGGTGACAAAACAAGGATCCGTAACTTATATTACGGGCTGTCCAATAGGACAGGTGTGAGAATATATTTGTAATATCTCTGCTGTGTGTCTGACAGGTTTTCAGAAGGATTTCTTGTCACGCAGAGTTCATTTGAAATGGTAGTTTATTCGATAGCACGTTTTAACACACAATTTAGATAATCAAAATATTTTTAACTGAAACTTGTTCTGTAAAGTTATAAACGATTGACAACAAATAGCGGGCGATTTTGACAAAAGAGATATCTTTAAATTTTGGCGGGTCGCACAGCAGAGTATGGCATGCAAAATCGACCAATCAGAGCGTGCGGAGTACTAACGAGATATACCACTAATTCTGTTAAATCAATTCTTCGGTCTACAATGTTGTTTATAAACAGTCACACTAATCGTTTCGCAATAGGTACTGTTACCCTTGACGAGCTCATGACAGGTTTAATTAGCGCACACGAGACATTCCAACAAGCCATGGACGTTGAAATTAGGGAAGAGGTAAATAAAGGAATAGTAATTTGGCGTAACAAAGGTTTTCTCCTATGGACCGAAGAAGCATCCTTATATTCCACTCACAAGGAGAGGATGAAATGAAAATAGAACTACTGGGAAGTTGAAAGCTGTGTGAATAGTTAAAATTGCATGGTTAAAGTAGGCGTGAAGTTTCGCTAGATATTAGTTCTTGACTCGTACTTGCACAGTATTGTCTTATAACCAAATGGCGATCTAGGTCTGGAGTGTAGGGGAGGGGAGGGTCAGTAGCCTGGGCTGTCAGTTCGTAGAACTCCAGATCGAATGATTTTGCCTTGCGCGATGGCCGAGGTTCATGTCCTGTACTCTAAAGCAGGTTACGTTGTCGAGTGCGTCTACCGTGAATGAAATAATGTACGGTTTTTCATCATTTGATTTCTAGGGTAGTAACAAGGTTTAATTTTCTGCTTCATGATACTTTTTAGGAAGAAAGGGAAGCGAGGGAATTGGTAAAGAGAGAACAGGATGAAGCATACCAGGCCTCGCTCCGTCAAGACAGAGCTAAGGTGTGCGACTCTTTTCTTGTTATTGTTGTACTAGTTGCACAGTGCAGAATTTTATTGCTGACATTTATTTCTTTACTGAAAAGAAGACTTTATCGGAACATTAACTGATATGAGTAAGCAAGTGTTGTGTACGAAACTTAAACAATTTTAACCCCTTTGACCTTTTCCTCTACTTTCGGACGGAAAATACTTCCCCATTCCCCCTCCCCCTGGGTTGACTGCCTAATTATTTCCTGCAAATTTTTCTCTCAGGCGGAAGAGAAAAAAAGGCAAGAAGAGGAGGAAATGCTGTCGAAAAAACTGCACGAAGAACAAGCGCTTCACGAAGCGCAGCTGAAAGAGGTATACAAGAACAATCTACGCAGTGGTGAAGCTCATTTATCTAAGATAAGAAAGTATGGTCTACTCAAGGCTCGATTTCCGCTGTTTTCTCGAGTTTGGTCCTCGATCATCCCAACGGGGAACTTCGGGGGAGGGGCGCGGGTTCATTTTTCGAACAGCGGATAGTAATCGAGCTTCCTCTCGTTTTTTGCCTTTTAAGGGCGATTCAAGCTTAAGGAGAATGTTAAACTTTAGTTGCCTTCAGTAGGAAAACACAAAAGAGAAAAATCTAAACCACGAAAGAACAATGATGGCGAAGAGTGGAGAAAAGTATAAAGGATTTCCAGCGAAAAACTTGAAAAATTTCGGCCAAACTTTTTATGATGCGCCAACATTTCCATCGCTCCTTTACCAGACCCCTTTATAATGGGGCTTCAAATGGGAAAACTTAAATTAGTACCCGTGGTTTCGTCAACTGTCTCCTATGAAAGAGGCCTATTTCAAGCTGTGACCTTGATCTTCGATTCTAGGCTCAACGGTTGTCTCTGATGGATCACCTTCCTGCAGAGCCTGGGTCTGAATGTACAGCTCCAGTTTCCAATCTCCGATTTAGGCTGCCTAATGGTGATACTGTGACACGAAGATTCCTGGCCAGCAATCCACTCCAGGTTTGATGTGTACTGATTTTCGCTTAACATTAAACACAAGCTTGTATTCTTGATTATTGATGTTGTGACTACAACAAATCACCTTGTCTTCATTGGACCTCGTTCTGAGGGAGAGACCTAAAAGTTGCCTTAACCCTTAAATCCCTAAGAATGACCAGCATCTAATTTCTCCCAACAATATCACCCCCAAATCACACGTCAGAAGCTCTTCATCTTAGGAAATATGTAGATAACAGTTGGAAGAATATGCATACAGATATTGGAATCTAAAGGTTAATTAACTTTTTCTCATTCAATGAAAACGTTTTACTTATTACGTGTTTCAATTTCATCATAGGTTGTGTTAACGTTTGTACAGACAAGAGGTTTCCTAGACAGTGAATATAAAGTAGTGACAAATTTTCCACGGAGAGATGTGAGTACATATAACTATTTAACCCCTAAGAGTGACTAGTATCCAATTTTTCCATACATTATTACCCCTGAATCAAACATTAAGGTCATGAGAATAAGTGAAATGATCGCAAACTCAAAAAGCTCTTGATTGATAGAAAAATTCTCCTCGTAAGTATCATGGAAAATGTTTAGAGATCAGTGTGGAGAATATGCATACTGATGTTAGGGTACAAAGGGTTAAGAAAAGGGGAAAAAATCTTTCTTTCCAACCTGCTCGTGCTAATCAAAGCTCTTCTTTTCTTTCTTTCTTTTCATTTTCTTTCACAGCTGTCGGCTCTGGATACAACAGAATCACTACAATCCATTGGACTTTATCCTCAAGAGACAATTTTTGTTGAAGAGCGCTAGTCATCTTGTTATATACCTGAAAAAGAAATGTAATATAGAGAGTTAAAGAAGTGGGATGTCTGAGGCCCTAAATGTTGGGTAACCTGTTCTTGACGTCTGAGCCTGAGGAAACCAGGAACTCGAAGCAAGGAATAAGAACAAAGGAAAGAAAAACACCAATAATTTCGAACTAGGTCTCCATTCTTCAGAACAATGAAGCCCAAAAGGATTGAAAGGTCAAGATGACAGGGTCGTGATTACTTCATGAACAATCATGTCAAATTGAATATACATGCCTTGGACTAATAAGCTTTATGGTCACAGGAGGAAAGTTTTGCGTCGAAATTGTTCGCTTATATTTTCAAATTTTTAAATTAAATTATATTTAATTGATAGAAAAAGATATTTTTGTGGTTCGGTGTCTGTATAAAGCTACTTGTGGGGAATTGTTAAGTGTACTTTAAAAAAAAAGGGCCCTAGAGCAATTTTCAATAGAGTACTGCAAGTGGTTTTGGGTTGCTTTAATTTTGTTCTACTTCGCTCTGTGATTGGTTCAGAAAACTCGCGCCTTTCTCTCAACCAATCAGATGCAAAACTAAGCAAGCTTTCGCCAAGTAGCCTAATTATTTCTCTTTGATGCAACTTTTCAAAAAGCAAAACACTTTTTCTGATAGGGTAAAATTGTTCTCATTTCTTTTGCTCTTACCATCTTTTTAAATGGTTTCATGCTAATAAAGGAGGGCTTTTAATGTGAGAATGCTTGGGGAAAAGGCCACCTGAACGCAACCAACACTATTCAAGGAGATCACAAATCGTTCCCAACTCCGATCAAGACACTCGTTGAGCCCACTTTAGCTATGATCCTCTCGTTATTTCTTTATTTTGATACTTCCATTCAGTGCCTCCTACATGTATGTGACACGCGTTACACATCTTCCTCAAAATTGTTCCAACTCTCCTCGCAAATTGGTGAATGATCCAGATCTACATGATTAGTGAAGACACTTCTCCAGAACAACGTCTATGGAATTCTTTCGCCTATCCCTCCTCCAATGTTGTTAATTGCAAATTTGTCAATGCCATCCTGAGAGGGGCCGTGGTAGCAGTGGGCATCCCTGCAAATGCATGTCTAGGTTTATAGTCATGATTTAGGCGGAGCTGCCAACGGCGAATTCGGAGATTGCAACGTTAAAACCTCTCAAGATTTTTATATACTAGGCATTTATTTTGAAAATATCAACATCGATTTGGGTTTTCAGTGTGGCCTAGGTATTTCTCGCTCGGTTCATAGTTTTCACGCTTCGTTCAACTTGTGGATCAATGTCCCTGGCATTATCGGGAGTTACTACATCACGGGCGACGAGCGGGGATAGAAAAAACGACCCAAATATGAGCGGTCAGCGGTGAAACAGCTTTTATAATTCATATAGAGACATAATTTGTTGTTCCAGAGACAATCGTGTTGTAAAGCCGAAATGTTTTTCAAAAGTGTTGATTGAACTCATATCTTTTACTGCTTTAATAAACAATGGAGGCTTCGGAGAGGGAGTCAGTGGCATTTGGAAAGGCACCAAGAATAATTATATATATGGTTTGTAGCTAGCTGCGTGACGTGCATGACGTTAAGATAGTTTTTCACGAGCGTCAATGGTGCAGAATCGCAACTTGATGGAGCCAACAGTGGACAACATCCCAGAATTCAAACTTTGTGATTTTTTTCTCGGCTTAAACGCTAAGTCAGTTGTTCAATTGAATAGGAAGAAAAACATTTCGAACGGAAAACAGCATTATTTGCACGTGTGGATCTTTTGAGAAAAGGTCTCCTAAACGAGTGGTCTTGATTGTAAATATTTAAGGAATGGTAAATACATTAGCCTTAACATGGCTGTTTCTCGAAGCTCAGTGTTTTCCTACTTGCCTTTTTTCCACGTGAATTGGGGGCGATTGAATAGATATAATATGCAGTAAAAGAACTTCAGCTGATAGAAATTTTAAATTTCTCATCTTAGGCTGTGGATACAAAATTCAAGTGAAAAGGAAGCCTACTGTGATTAATGCTTTGAACAAGTCAAGATACGTTTTTTTCGTCACACAACAAGTTACATAACGTTAATATCATTCTTCTTGATGCCTTTCCCGGTGTCACCAATGCCTTTCCCGATGCCTCCGTTGGTTAATAGAGCATTAAAAGTATTGTTCCAGTTAAAGCTTGAGGAAAATTGCTTAACTTTTTAAGTAGCGAAGTGTAACTTGGTAACATTTCGGCTTTACAACACGATTGTTTTCTGCAACTACAAAACGTACATTTAATTCTTCTTGGTACCTTTCGGATGCCACCGATGCCTTCATTGTTTATTAAAGCAGTAAAAGATTTATGTACAATCAACACTTTTGAATTGCTTAACATTTTATTTAGCGAAGTAAACTGTTTACACTTCGGCTTTACAACACGATGTAGTAACTCCCGGCATTATCGATGCAAAGGCATCTTTCCACCACCATTTTGAGGTCTTCCTTTTTTCTCAGGCTCATAAAGCTGGCTCATACTATGGAACTTATTGGTGACTAAAGATAATTTACTATGGAAAAAGAAAAAAAAGAAAAGAAAAAAAGGCAAGTTCTTTCGCAAGTTCAGTCCAGTCTACTATTTTTGACTTGTCGAAACACTGCAGGCTCAGATCCAAAGCACACTACCCGCCTGACCTCATGGGATATGAACATTGCCTGGTCGCAAAGTAGTCCTCTCTTTTACGGCCTTATCGAAACATGGTGAGTTTTCGTATTTCGTACATTTAAATCCGCTTCCATCTCGTTGTAGAGCACTCGAAATTAAAATCTTAAGCGCTAAAATAATAAAGTAGTCTTATATGTGTGGATCTATGGTGTGAATTTGTTGTTCGATGTCTAACTTGGGATTATAGTGGTGAAACTGTTTTCGTAGTACTACAAGGTTACGTTAAGCGCTTTGGATACAAACTTAGTCCCATAATTTAAGAGCATTTTTGTCAGTTGAGTCCAATTGGCCAAATAAATCCATAGCTGAATACTCTTTTAAGTCAACTGACATACAGTAGTGGTAGGTTTTAAATTTTCGCACGAAGGACACACAACTGCCACCGTTACTTTAAGTCGAAGTAAAATTGTCCCTCTTGATTGAAATGAACGTGTTATTTAGTCTTTCGTTTTAATTAAGTCTTTCTTTTCGGCCCATCTTTCGGCTCGTTCGTTTATTCGAATGCAGTTTTTCTGAATCCCATCCCCACTGCGCAATCAAATGTTTTCATGTGAGTTTGTTATAATTTCTCACTACAGACGAAGGGAACATCGAGTTTTGGTAAGCGCCATAACAAGACACACACTCTGTGTGTGCGCTGTGGTCGTTCAGCATACCACATTCAGAAGAAGCGATGTGCTTCTTGTGGCTATCCAGCCGCTAGAACCAGGAAGTGTAAGTCTGTTTTTTTATGTTATAATTAAAGTAAACTAAGGTGTTGTGAAAGTGATGATTATGACTTGTGTGACATGAAGTCCGATTTCCAATAAATTGCGTCAGTTACAAATTGGGGGAAGCTCAGGATTGTAAAATTTAAGTAAAGGCACATACCCTTCTTGTTGATAATGAATGAAAGTCATTAGACCAGCTGATTTTGTCCCTGTGTGTTTGCTCGGCCATTTCAGAAGTTTTTCCATTTTTGATTAGCTATGTAGTTGAGTTGTATAGGCTGTTGGCTTTAAGTGCTTAATTTTAATTGATTGCTCAACTGTCCATTTTTGCAAGTCCAATGACAAGTGTATGTAATTGGACTTAAATCACCCAATTAAGACCCAAACAAGGGTATAATAGATTATTTTGTCATCGACACAGTTGGTAATGGTAATAGAACTGAGTGGAGTCCAATTCGGTCTGTAATCATAAGTGTGATTGACAGAAATCAGATGACCATATAGCAGCAGTCCAATTTGTTAATCACTAGTATCATCACAGGTACAAAAAGTTCCGTAACCAATTAATCAAAACTATAACAAACTATTCAAAACAAACTAGCCATTGGTGAAAAGTTTTCTTAAAACAGACAAAAGGGTGATGAGAATGCCCACACAAGATACATTCTGTCCAATTACGCAAGCATGGGGTTTCCACTGTCCAATTACTTGCATGGCACTGCTCTATTAGTACTCAAATCAGGCTGTTTGATAACTGATCTGTCATACTTTTGATTAAGCAAGAAATTGTATAAAATCTATTGTTATGATGGTTGTCTTCCTTAGAAACTTAAAAGATTAAAGCTGTTGCAAAAATTTCATGCACCAGACACAAAACATACAAATTGCTTTATTTAGCATAATTGTGACTGTTCCATTGAAAGCTTTTCAACTTCTGAAAACTCATAATTTTTTCTCTAGTTAACTGGAGCATCAAAGCTAACCGAAGAAAGACAACTGGAACTGGCCGTATGCGCCACCTCAAAGGGCTATATCGCCGCTTTAACAATGGATTCCGTGAGGGAACTCAGTCCAAGTCCCAGAAACGAAAAGGTGGAGCAGCTCCTGCCTCTAGTGGTGCCAGCCAGTGAGAAAATGTACTTGTAATAAAACAGTTTCTTCCATCAATGAAATAGTTGTCTTTTGATATGTTTGCTTTAGTCTCTCCAGCCATGCTTTCTCCTCTATCAGTTATTGTGATTTCACTTGTTTGTGGGACAATGAGATTGAGATGAGAAATGCTTAACTGCTGGAAATTTGGGCAATGGCTTTTGTTACATACTTTAGGATTCAAACATCTGCCAAGGCTTTTTTTGTCCACAAAATGTTGCTAGACTATGAGTAGTCCCTCCTTTTCATTGAAATTCCTTGCAAGTGAAAAATAATCAGCAAAATCAAACATACACTGCACTACTAGGGTGCACTGAATTTTGTTTACACATGCTTTTTACTTTGCCAACAAGGAGGAACTGCTTGCAGTCTAAAATGTTTTCTGATGGGTTCAATCTATGCTTTTTGTACATGGAAATAATGCTTTCCTTATGTTATTTGCCTGCCTGTCTATTCACTTGTTTTTATCCATGTGCCAACATGCAAGATATTGTTTTTTGCAAGTCCCCAGCAAATGAAGAATGGGAGCCTTCTTAGTGTTACCTAAGTTTTTAAGGCCAAAAAGGCTAACCTACTTGCCATTTAAAGAATAATTCCCCCAAGTACATAAAGAGAAAAGAGTCTATGAACAAAGGACATTTGAATCCCAAGCTAAGATCAGCTCCAGTGTAAGACCTCATTTCCACGTTCTCTAGAACACTACGAGGGTGGGAAGAAGAAAGACCTCGAGACTGAGGTGGGAAACTTTCGAGGGTAACTTACACGATCTAACATGCTAATAAATAACCAATTTTAGTCTGAGTTTTCAAATGACACTAGCATTCCTACATTATATTGCAAAATACACGCAAATCTAAATCGTTACTATTGAGGTTTCATATCCCTGATCACAACACAGCTATTGACTAATGGGTGAGCATGCGGATACTTGGTTATTTCATTGTGGTACATCGTGAGGTATTGGACGCTAGTGACGAAGAGAGGAGCTGGAGAAGGAAAAAAAAAAGTGCCTGTTTGCTCCGCCCTTATGTACTGCCGCGTGCCAGTAACTTCCGACCTCTCTAGGGCAGTGAAAACGATAATGATGTAGAAAGCACTGTAAGTGTTGATGGGCTAAAGCAGATCTTTGTGTTATTACGTAAATATATGCTGGAATTCAATGCCAGCTAAGCCGTCCTCCGGCCCGTTTGGGTCGTGCACCAAGTCAGTCATAGAATTTTCCAATGTACTTATTCACGCTGGGGAAAGTTGTGTTACCGTATTTTAATATGAAAAATGTCTGAAAATGATATTTCGGTGCTCAAAAAAGCGAGATACCTTGCTGAATTAAGGTTTTCACATCATTAGAAAATTTATTTCTCGATCGAAGAGAACACAATGAAAGAGATCAAAAAACACGCTTAACATCGAGGCAAGGGTCGAAAGAATCCAAGAAATTTACTCAAAATTTCGATGAATGAGGAGCTCTGGAAATACGTTTCTGGAACATAAAACAGGCTCAGATAAAGCAAGTGGCCCTAAGTCTTCAGTAGTAGTTTAATCCTTGTTGAAAACATACAAAGGAGAGCTACTCGTTTTATCTTAGGAATAGTAACCTATGTTACAAGGCTCGTTTAATCAAGCTTAAGTTATTACCGCTAAGTTACTGGTTAGAATATCTTGACTTAGTTTTCTTTTTTAAGTGTCTTCATGGGCTTGTCGATTTCATTCGTGAATTTAGTTATTATTTTTCTTTTCTAAAGGGCAACACGCGCCGTACTTCATCAGGGCTGCATTTAAAGTTAAATGCCTGTAGTACGTCTTCCTTTCGAGACTTTTACTTCAACAGAATAACTTTGATGTGGAACAGTTTACCTAAAAATATCAAGGATTCAGACACTATAAGCTCTTTTAAAAGTAAATTCAAATCGTTTTATTTACTAGACTTTTGAATGCTTTTGATGGTGACAATTTTCGTTCTTTTAAATTAATTTGTCCTAAGTGTCGCCGTGTAAATACTTCTTCTGTCTGTACTTGTTAAGTTAAGTTAAGTTGTTAATTTTTATACCTTAGAATGTTCTGTGTGATTTTGATTATTTGAATTGTAGTTTAGTCGAATCTGGGAAGGGATCTTTTTTTCGGGATATTTCTTTCCGAGATATTTTTTTTACGGGGCTGGGTGTGGGTGTTAGTTTTACCTGGTCAGAGGATGACAAACCAATAACAAAAAACAAAACAAAACAAAAGAATTGTAAAAGTTAACGGTCTTTATTTTAAAAAAAATAGTTACTCTGTATGCTTTTTTAAGTACAAGTGCTGAATTTCTAACTGTAATTCACGATTTTGCTGGGCAAGATCTTCGCGAATTTTTTTCCTTAGAGCCACAACGGCTTGGGCGGGGGGCAAATCTTTGGGCAACTCTAAAGAAGACTCTGACTCAAAGACAACGGGTGAGGGCGGCCTGTATGGCTCTCTTTGAAGAGCTGTGGATGATCTCGATCGAAGAGTTTCATTTTCAGGTCTTGGTGTGGTTCTAGAGACTGGCGCAGATCTGGGAGCCTTAGTGAAGGAAACGCACCTCGGGGTGATTTTTTCAGGTGAAGAACTTGGAGTAATGTCGACAGAAAATGCTGGACTCTCTTCGCTTTCAACGAGAGTTTCCTCGCTTTCCCCAGGACTAACACTGACACTGATTTCAGCAGGCGTTTCTGGTTCAACGCTTATTCTGTTTCCTAAGTTTAGGTCGCTACTGCTTTCTGTTAAATCACCTTGTGTCGGGATCGTTATCGTTATAGGCATACACCTGGAAAATCTGGATTCTGTCGGGAGCCTTGGAGTGGACGGTGGAGCAGGAGGAGCAGAGTGCGGTCGACACATTTTCCTATCGCTCGCCATTACTTCATTATCTGGTCCTCCAGATCTTCCTTGACTAGTTTTTGGACGAACTCTTTGCTGTAAACTAACTTTTTCAGCTTGGTCAGTTTTAGAAATGATTTCAACAGTATTAGTTTTCCTCTTATCGTTTACCTCTCTATTCTTTCCTTTTGGATTCCTTGCTGTTTTCTTTCTCACAACTCTTTCATCTTCGAAGGTAACCTTTTTGGGAACCTTCTCTTCATTATGTTTTCCATCGTGCTCTGCACGATCTGCACTTTCCATACCGACCTTCACCAGTTCATCAGTTCTGTTATCCTCAATTTCCACAGCAGTAATACATTTATCTTTTGCGGAAATTAAGTTCCTTCGATCGGGATATACCCAGCGTGTTTCTAAACTGAGCTTGTAAGCTGGTGAAAGATAGTTTTCCTCCTTTCGTGTATAGACATTCCTTTGCTGCGCTTTCTTGTGGTGGAAAATAACTGGATGTGATTCATACAAGCCCTATGGAAAACACAGAACTATCAAATGAATAAAGATCTTAGTTACGAGAACAAAAAGACAAAAGTACTTTTAAACCCAGACTCTTTCCACTATCTCAACAAGGTTTTCAATTTTAAACTTCTAATCATTTCTCCAGCAGCCAGGAATAGTAAAATTTACTCTTTTAGCTTTAAAATTAAATTTGTTTTTGCAAAAAGATCGCAGTTAAGATGTCCAGAAGGTTCTGTGCCTCACATTTTAAACTTTACACACTTCTAGCTGCTTAAGTTACTGAGGTATTGTTTAAATACTTTATTTATGAGTTGGATCATAGCCATACGTTTTACTTGCATGGCACAGCTTTCGCGTGTCTCGTAAAGCCACACGTACTACACGCGTTTGACACACGCATGCGGGTATTGTACTACACATAAGCGACCCAGAGAGTAGTATTGTAAATTGTAAGATGGGTGCAATGCATTGACCCTTGCTTCATAATTGGAATAAAAATGCTTCCCAAAGATTACAGAAGTGAAAGTATGATGTTTTGGTACATATATCATGTATTTATTTTGTTCACCAGCAGTGTTTTATTTAAAGTGCATCATTATATAATAGAATTTTTAATTTAACATTTACCTTTAAAAAGTTTTAAGGTGATGTAGCAACATCGTCAGTTGAAAGAGTTCTTTCTGCAAACTCCTGACTAGATGCATCACAATGTAAGGAAAGAACATCAATTGTTTCATTAAAAAAGCAAGGCATTGATGCAGCTATTGGGCTACTTTATCTCAAAGTTTAAAAAATTACACTGTTTTTATTTACTCTCATAAAACTGAATATAATTGTAAATTTTTTAGCGTGATGGTTTATGCCTTCTAAGAGCTGTGTTGAGTCTGCTTTCAATGGGCCTAACAAGTAACTCTTGAATAGGAAATTAATCAATGGAATAAGTGTACTTGAATTATGCAGATGTAAAAAGTATTAGATCATGGAGATTACCATTCAAGATGAGTCTTCTTATAAACAGAATCAAATTAACAAATGGAAAGTGGTTTAGAGTGGTCTGTACTCTTATCAAAACCAATATTTGTCATCAGTGGTCAAAATGTTGTTGACTCACAAGGCACAGCTGAGTAAGTCTGCAACAAATTTTGACCACTGTGATGACAAACATTGTTATTGATATGAGTACAGACCACACTAAACCATTGTCAATTTGTTTTTTAATACTACAATATTGACATCAAATGAAATAAATCTTTTAGTGAGTAACCATTGTGTGACACATTGACACAAGCAGCATTGTCTGTCCCCCTATCCACAACAGCAAATTGGCCAATCAGATTGTGACATCACAGCCAATCAGATTGTGACATCACAGCCAACTGTATTCCCCTATTATCTCCCATCCCACACCCATCAATCAGTTGTTTTACCCCACCCTTCTTGATTACAATCAGGAATGCCTTACTATTTTTTCACATTTTTCTAATTTTTACATTGTTTCTCGTACCTTTGAGGAGGAATCCTTCTCTGACTTTAAGGCTGATGAAACAACACATGCCTGTTTATGAAAAGGAATCTCTATTTATAAATCAAGAAATCATACTTCAATGAAGAGGTTGGGTAAAAATTGAATTTAAGTTAACCCTTTAATAACCCTCATGAGTGACCATGACAGAATTTCTCCTTAAAATATAAATACAATATCAAGCAAACAAGAGATGAGAATAAAGAAAAAGATCGGTTAGGGGATTACCAGTTGATCCAATACCAAATTCTCCAAAATTACATTACAAGAACTGTATGGGAGACAGTAAGGAGAATTACTTATGAGATCTTGGGAGTTAAGACTCGCAACATTTGACTGACAACAACTATTCACTTGACTCTGATGATGACTTCTGCTCAGTTTGTCAAAACGTCAGTCACCACTACCAGACTATCAAACCCACATTATTGCAGTAAAGGACTCACAAGGCTCACAGTCTTCTTGACCACCTGGCAGAAAGGCATGTCTAGATTTGTCTGGAGCCTGCTAATTAAGTGCTAACAATAAAGAAACTCAGGAGACTCACATTATGCCAATTCAGCTGCTCCTCCCAGTTCAGTGGAGCTGTGCGTTTCTTCCCTTGCTTTGTATTTCCATCATCAGTTTCCGGTATTAATTCCACTTTCTTCTCAGTTCTTACAATACCATTTTGTCCCACCCTCACTGGCAAGTTATGTCTCAAAAGATTAGGCACACTTTCCCCTTTTTTATTATCCACTGAGTAACAAATTGGCTTCTTGTTCTTCTCATCACAAGCAAAAGTATCAATCACACCAACGCTTGTCTCTTGAGGGAGGTTGAACCAGGCAGTTGGTTTATATTCTGATTCTTTTCCATTGTACTTGCCAAAAAATGACACAGTGTAAGGAAGATGGCCACTGCAACCTTTTTGCTCCTCCTCTGTTTTGTCAGCTATTGAGCAGCTTGGACATGATTTGGTTTTCCTCCTCTGAGCTCTGACTCTTTGCTCATTTGGAGCTGATTTTGTAGAGGAAGGTTTGTGTACGTTTTCTCTTCGTATTTTGCTTTGACGTTCTGAAGTTACATATCTTGATGAAGTTGAAACAGACATTGAAAAAGTTCTGGAGGATGGAGTTGAACTTGATGGCCTGAAATGATACAAAGATTTGTAACTTTTGTTCCTTTTTCCACAATGCTGGAAGGGTGGTGGGATGCTATGGGTGGTGGAGTGTTATGGGTGGTGGGGTGCTATGAGTGGTGGGGTGTTATAGATGGTGGGGTGCTATTGGTGGTGGGGTTCTATGTAAATCATGTACCACTCAGCTTAATTTGAAATCTGCTGGCCTATAATCTAAAGATCACATTTCCACGTCATAGTTTAAGGTTAATTATAAGATCCCAGTGGTCATGGCCTTGGTTTCTGTGGCATGGTGCACTAAGAAGCACTAGCGATGATGTTTAGCCCACAGGAGGGGAAAGTTGATCCTTCCAACCTTCCCCTTTGCGATGTCAGTATATTTAGTTAGGCAGTACCATGTACAAAACATTGATGAACAACATTGAACCAGGGAAGGGGGGCAGCTTTTAGATTTTTGATGCAAAAGTTCTTCTTATCCAATCGATGAAGTCAGTAAATGCACTTTTTGCCTAGGTTGTCTCAACATTTTTACAAATGGTTGTAGAAGCAGAACCAGACAGGAGAATTTAGTGTTAGTCCAAAATAACACCCTCTAGCTGATAAGCTTCTCTGTTCTCAATCTCCCTTTCATAATGGAAACATAGCTGTTTCCCTTCTCGAATTTACCATGATTTACCTAACTAATTCGTTAATTAAATTTTCATTAGAGCGGAATTCGAGTTAAGAATACGTTACCTGATACTAGATCGACAAGTATTTGTCTCCTTGTAACTGCATGAAGGAGATTCTTCGTCGATTTCCCGCAACGATCGTTCGGCTTTCTCTCTCGCGGCTTTCAATTTGGCTTCAATACCAGCACGAAAACGCCCCTAAATATTTAAAATAAACATAATAAACAAATTGTCTAAGGAAAACAACTGTTGATAATTAGCTCAATTAAGGTAACAGGTCGACCTCAAGTTATAATTTGGAGGGCAGAAAATTTACTGTCGCTTCACGATGCAAATGCTAACCAAGTGTTTACCTTTGAATGTTTGGAGTAGATCCTATCGGATATCTTGTCCAGATCATTAAGAGTTTGAATACATCTGGATGCCATCGGTTTCCGGAACGGAACAACGCAAATTTTGAGTTCCTAAAAATTTGCATGCATCACATGCTCGGAAAACGTCCAATTCCAGATAAAAATGGAGCAGCTTTCAGCCAGCAGCTGCAAACATTCGCGGAACAGTGGAAAATCGGCCCGAGGCTAACCTTAAAAAATTGAATAGATCTTCTAGATATTCTCTACGAGATGCAAATAACAATAAAATTCATTATAAACACTAGCAGCTGATTTAAATTTGCAAGGCAGGCAGCGATGGATACAAGATTGTTTTCACCTCCATGGCGACGTGGAAATAAGATGTAAGAGTCTTTTGTGCGATCACTTACCATATTTGGTAAAAGGAAGGCGGGAGGAATTGACGATTCAAGTTTCTCCCTTATGATTGGTCAAAAATGACGTATGCCTCTGCTTTGTTCTCCCGCCACAAGGTCGAATTCCTTCTAGAGGAAACGACAAACACGTTATTGGGGGAAAGTTTAAAAATATTGATCGGATATTCGTAAGGATTAATGGCCGCCCAGAGTCCTACAGATGGATGTCTTCCGCCGTGGAAGAAACCTGGGAAACAAGGAAAGGAGGTGTCAAGATCTGAAGACGAGAAAAAGCCTACAGCAACAAAAATTACAGAATCGGCAAAGTGAGTTCTCGATTCATAATCGATCTCCTTTGGCTCCTTGTAAACCGGTCCTAGCTTGAAATCACTTGCTTCCTCTCTTATCAGGCCTATTTTAGAGGAACAAGCACTACTCAGAGAAAAGCTTAAGAATTTGCCGACGTGGAAGAAAGATAAAGATGCGCATTTGAAGAGAAAAACACAACCAGTGGTAAGCTTATGTTGCAAGCCTCTAGCTGTTTATATCGTCAGGTGACATGCATGTAAATTGTAAGACTCAATATATTAGCCCATCTGATCAAATTTTTTCAGCAATTTAACCTAGATCGCACCTTTATTTCACGATATTTCGGTGTAAAATCGTTCTTTTTCATTGTACAATTTACTGTACAACGATGTTAGTGTTTATATATTTTATCATGCCCTCCGGTAGTCGACGGTTTATCCATGTGTTGATGTTTTTGTTGACGTGTTCTAAAAATATGTTAATGTTGCGTAAGAAACGATGAGGGTGGCAGTCATATGTCAATTTTACTTTATCCTGTCGAAAATATATATTTAGAAAGTCGATCCCGTATGAATAGTTATTGACGTCGCAAGAGATCTATGATGTACGTAGTCAATTTTTTTTCTCCATATAGATTTGTTCAAAATTTATCAAAATCTTCGTTCTATTTTCGTCTATTAGATTACCGCTCGGAATAGCCAACATTGCTTCGGATTGTGATTGTGATCTGTACATGTTAAAAATCAGGCTTGAGTGTTTCAATCTTTATTTCCGAATGGAATGTTGTTTATTTTTCAAATAAACCGTTTTCAATTATTAATGAGAGTGTATTTAAACAATCATGTGATCTATGTTTTGTCAGCTGGTTTTTAAAATGTTTTTTATTATCATTTCACTGATTGCTTCTTCAAATATTGAGGCATTTTCAGTTTTTCTAGAAAAAATTGATTATGAACCTCACCATACTACTAACAGAGTTTTAAATTATCAAGGGAAAGGTGTACCTCTTTTTTTGTTGTATTTTAAGAATTTTTGTTTTGCAACTCTGCCGAATGCATTTTCATTTCAAGAATGAATGTCTGATAATTTGTCTAAGATTTGAAATACCAAGCACTGTTTTGTATTTATCTCTTAAGATACTCCGCAAAAAATTTTAGTTTTATGAACAGTCAAGTGACAATGTCGTCATTTTTGGTGGTATGGACAGAATGAAAAAGTCAGTACAGGAGATTCTTTATTGCCTAAGCGCTGTATTTAGATGCACTTTCCTATTTGCAAAAAATACCAAGAAATTTAAATACATGATTTCTGAGGAAAAAAACTGTCTTTTTAGAGAAGCAAGCCATTTGAAATGTACAGAACTGTTTCTCTAAAGTCTTTGTAATCCTAAAATATAGTTTTTAAGATTGTTTCTCACGAAAGTTTAATGCTTTGGTATCTCAAGGTAGAGTTTTCTTCTCTCTGAGGATCAAGAGGCTGTAATTCTAAATTAAGAGTATTTCTTCTCTTGCTAGGTGGCCAGGCCCCCTTCTCCAGGAACATCAGCCAATACTAGTGCCAGGCCTCAAGCAGCTCAGTGTGGAGCAGTGGTCAGTATCATTTTTTAACATTGGCTATAGACAATTTAGATATTTATTTTAAATTTCATTTGGTTTGTATAAGCAAGTAAAGAAAACTCGGTAGGAATTACAGCATTATCAAAGTGTAGAAATTTTAGAATATGAGAGATGCTCTATTGGGAAGGTGACTAGGACTTCCAAGAATTTAGCCGTCATTAGATTAATTTAGAATTATATTCATGTGGGAAATTCCATTTGCAAAATTCACCGCAGTTTGAATTTGTTTGCTCTTCAACCTCAAATAAGTGATTAAATCTCTGATGTTTTGTTTTCCTTTACAGCCAGTGAAGGTGCCATCTCCTCCAACACGGCGACGCACTCCTGGTAATTCACCTTCTAATTCCTTATGTTTCTCATTTCCACGGAGTTCATCACCTGTATATGATGCACCTAATGAAGTCAAGCGCAAGGTTGAAAAAGCAATGAGAGCAAGACTCTACCTTTTGCAGCAGACTGGGCCTAACTCATTTCCTGATTGGTGGAGATTCACCTGATCATAAATTCCGTGTGATGATTGGTCCACAGGTACAGTGTATACATGATTTACTTAACTCTTGAGCTCCCAAGGTCTGTTAGTTAATTCTCCCCTCTAAACACATTTCCTTGTAAAATAATAAGGATAATTTGGTATTAGATTAAGATGACAAATTCTACCTGATAACTTTGAGTGTTCTCATTAACTGTTTGCTGCATAATGTATGGATATCGTAGGGAGAAGTTACATGTTAATCACTTCTGGGAGTTAAAAGGTTAAGTATTTTTCCTACAAGTGACCAAGACAGAATTTCTCCTTACAATATCAATACAATATCAAGCAGGTAGGTGATGAGAATAGAGAAGAATATCAATCATGGGATTATTAGTTGATCCAATACCAAATTCTCTGAACTAACATCATAAGAATTGTATGGGAGATAGTAAGGAGAATTACTAACTAGATCTTGGGAGTGAAAGGGTTAATTTACTCCCAAGATCTGATTGTCAATTTTCCCCCCCTAGCTGCTACACATTTCCTTGTACATTGATCGCAAGAATTTGGTGTTAGATTAAGATAGCAACTTATACCTGATAATTTTGAGTATTCTCATTACCTGTTTGCTAGATAAGGTGTAGATATTACAGGGAGAAGTAACTTGTCAATCACCTCTGGGCATAAAAGGTTTAATATACATGTAAAAGCAACCATAAAAGCATTATAGTAAATAGCAGCCAGGTAGAGCAGTTTACAGCTACTTTCAACCTTTAACCCCTAAGAAGACTAGCATCTAATTTCTCCTTACAATATCACCACTGAATCATATATTAATGTCATGAGAATAAAGGAAATGATCTCCAACTAAGGAAACACTTGATTGTTTGACAAATTCTCCTTGTCAGCGCCTTAGTAAATGTACAGAGAACAGTACGGAGAATATGAATTCTGATGTTAGGGTGTAAAGGGTTAAAACCTCTTACCCCTTTCTGTTTAGCCTACTAGCAGGCTCTTGTGGTAAGGTTTAACCTTACAGTCCCTTTGGCAGACACAGCTGTCTAATAATTACACTTAAGGTAAATTGGAACCTTTGTCCCTTGGAGAATTATGTGCAGACTGTTTGAAGGCTCTTGTGTCAGAAATTTGGGATGCACTGCTCTTAAAAGCTTTCAATGATAAACAATGTTGTTGAAGTCACCCAAGTCACCTGTTACTTGCTTTTGGAAAGAAAACAAAAGGCTGTACATTACTTTTGGTTTTTAAATCAGTTAGTTTGGCCCAAAACAGTGAATGTGCACCTCTACAGTTTCCAACCACAGTTACAAGTTACCTTTCAGCAATTAATGTATTTCTTAGTTCAATTCACCTCTGTGGTCTTTATGATATTAATGTAAAACTATGTCTTTTATTTTCAGAGTTGTACATGTACAAGGCCACATTGTGTTCACCTTCTTTTTGTGATGCTTAGAGTCTTCAAACTCAAAGAAAATGATCCTCTTTTATGGACTCAAAAATTGAAGAACTTTGAGGTACAAATTAAAGGTTATAATCTTGCCCATCAAGACATTGTGGTTCAAACTGTAGCAACTGTTTCTTTCTTTACACAAGGGAAATCTAGATGGAAGCTTGAAATTTTTTCCTACAAGAGGCTAATTTTGTGGGAAAAAATAAGGCCCCATGTTAGGAGAATTTTACTTTGCTTTTAGAACTCATCAGTATTATGCCAAAATGAAATTGATATGAGCACTACTTTTTCGAACTTGTGATGTGAACTTAACAGCTTTAGCTCTTCAGAATGAAGGTTGGTTTAAGTGAGGTTGATTTAAGCTTTTGTTCTACTCCAAATTATCGCTAGGTGGAGAAGTTGCTCTCCAAGTTCCATGCTCGAGTGAAGTCACGTTTACAAAAGGACATGAATGCACAGAAAACATCTCGAGCCAAGGGCCAGAGAAGCACACCACCAACAACACCTTGTACAAACAGTTTGGGAGGGTTACCCCAGGCACGTGAAGATGAAGAGGTGTGCCCAATTTGCTTATTGGAAATGGTGGAAGGGGAAAGTTTGACAAGTTGCCAAGATGGTTGTCATAACAGACTTCATCAGCATTGTATGGAAATATGTAAGTTGGGCTCAGATAGTCAAATTAATCAAATGAATGTATAGGTTTACAAGTTTTCAACATTATATCAAAGCAAAGATGAAGACAGCTTATTGAAATTTACACATGGAAGGTTAATGAACAAAATTTTGTTAACAGGGGCATTAATAACAATGAATGGAAATTTTAATTCATGATTAATGAAATCAAAGTAAGTGTAATAATTTCATGAAATATTATTTATGCTCAGGTGTTTTCTTTTCTAAACATTTACCTCTTTTCCTGGACTGCCTGAGTATTATTAGCCTCAAGATGTTTTGTTAATCTGCAAAACTGTTTATTCTTAAGAGAGAATGGTTTTATTAGCATCTTGTTGAGATAATGCTGAAACTACCCAGGGATAATCTGTAACAGTGTGGGGAGGTTGGCCCATAGCCCAAATTAAATAGGGTAATTTAGTGTTATTAACTGAGTTGCTAAGATTAATTGGCCACTGTGAAGAGTTTCAAAGCTGACATTCTGAGCGTTAGGCTTTTGACATTTGCCCAGACAAAGGGCTAACTCTCAAAATGTTGGCTCCGAAGCTCTTTACAGTGGCCAATTTACATTATCAACTTAATTGATAATACTAAATTACGTTGCTATACTCTACCACTGATGTAGCACAACAGTTTCTTTGGAAAGTTACCCCCTTTATTCACCAATCTTAAACACTTTGACAGGGGCTGCTGAATGTAAGAGACAGCGAGAGGCATTGTTTTGTCCACTCTGTCGCAAGATTTGGTCATCACCTTCAAATATCTGTAGCCCTAAAAGGTATCACTGGTGTTTTCACTTTCAATTTTTATTTTCATTTTTTGAGACATAACACCTCAGGATAGTCAGCTACACTGTAATATGTTTTCATAAGTCCTACAACATCAGCACAGAATCCACGATATAGCTGGAGAAAGGGGTGGCCTGACATTTGTAGCAAGACTCCTGGTTACATCAGCCTTCCCAATTGTACCACAGTGCTTATGACTGTTCTTGGCTGCAGTACTTTCTATTTCCTTGTTTGTGCCCTTCATGAACACGGAATAAAATGAGTTCTGCTTTTCTTATATCAATCTTTTCACTCCTTTGATTTATGAAAAAGGAATTTCTTCCAACAATATAAGTAAATTTACAACAATAAAGTTGATGAGAAAAAGCAAAAATTATATCAAGTATGGGATATTTTTTGATTCAACTGGCAGTTCTCTGAGCACAAACAATAGATTGATAGGATGTAATTCAAAGAGTACAGAAAACTGATACTTACATATAGAGAGATAAATTCTCTAGAATAAGATTTGTTATAAATGTTTTCATTATAACTGTCATCGTTGTAAGTACTCACTGTAACAATTTTTGTCTTCACTAGATCTCCAGATCACAGTATACGATCCGAACTACCCAGTGTACCTGCACCCTTAGGCCCTGAGGAAATCACACTACCACACTCAAACCCAGTACCAGCAGCACAGGTGGAACTGGCCAAACCATGGATTGAGGTAATTGGGAAACAGATTGAGTTGGCTAGATTCTTCTTCTACAAATAGGAAATTATTTTATATTCTGGTCATTCACTCCCAATTTCTTCATGGTAATTTTTTTAACTGTCTCCTTACTGCGTTTGGTCTTGGACCAAATAATGATATCCTAGTTCATATATTTCTCTATTTTCATCTGTTTACTAGTTGATGTTATAAATGTTACTTCAGACTCGAAACAGTTACAAGTGTCAGACACAGCCATTGAAATAGTCTTTTACCACAGAACTATGTACATGTCACTCTCACAAAGACATCATACTAAACCATAAAAAATTGTCCTTTACTACAGAACTATGTACATGTCACTCCCACAAAGACATCATAGTAGACCATGTAAAATTGACGAAAAACTGAAACACTCTGGCGTGACCCCTTTTGGCATACATGTAATCTCACATCTCTTTTTTTTCCTCATACCTGTAGGCATTTGGTGAAAATCTTGTGTGCTGTTTGTTCTCACGTGAATGGAATGTGAGAGAGACAGCTCTTCGCCGTTTAAGTAAAGACATAAACACAATATTTATGGAAGGAAGTAGCTCTCAAAACATGACAGCCTTTGAAGCTTGCTGTTCTCTGCTGTCCATGATGTGTGGGGACCCTGTGTACCGAGTGTATGTGGCTGCTCTGGTATGTATTTTTACTATCTTTTTGCACGTGTCTTCGAAAGTGTTAAATTGATTGCTCTAAGAACTTTTTCAAGGAAAATGTGTGGAATACATACCTCTTACTAACTGAATTTGAGGTCTGTCCTGTAAATTATGGACCGAGTTTTTCCTTTGGATTGAAAGCCCAAGCGCGTAGCTTACGGTATGGACTAGGAAAGCGAGGTTTGTAAGATATTCAAGTAGGGGGGGGGAGATTCCGGGACGAGTATCATATATGAACTTCGTAATGGGCCTTACTCACCATAGAGTTTCTGTGGCTCAGTGGTAGAGCATTGCAGCGCGGAATCTGAAGGTCTGAGGCTCGATTCCTGACGGGAACTCAGAATTTTTACTTTGTCCCACGCTCGTGACAAGACGAAAAAATATCTTGTCCAAGATTTCAATTCGAAAAAACTTTTAAAGTTAGTGGGCCATACATTGAAATACGGCCCGCTAAAATGACCAATCAAAGCGCACATACTGACCGAGAATTATTAGTTATAAAATCATTTCTTTCTGTTCAATTTTTTTTATAATTTTTCAGAGAACTCTCCGTGTATTGGTGATGCATATGTCTTACTCAAACCAGCAAGAGAAACATCATCTTCAGAAATGTTTGTTTGACGTAATTGAAGCTGTTTTAGCCAAGTGTGCGGACTCCAACAGGTAATTTTTTTTTGGTGGGAACATAAGATTTCAAAATTCTCCGCGACACATCCCGTATGATTTGCTTTCTTAAAATTTGGTGCAAAATCAATCAATATCCCCACTTGATATGTAAACAATATAAAATTTTGAGGATAATGAACACAGCAACCTCTAGTTGGCGCGAAAATGTGCTCAGATATTTTTCAGCGGACATTACATGGTATCTATTCCAATAGCGAAGTTCAACGTAAACTGTAAGCCTCGTGGAACAGATTATGTCCGAGGACAAATATCCGAACATATTTCCATGTCAACTGGAGGTTACTGTGTTCAGTATCCTCTAAATATTATGATTGCATTCGCTGCGTGAGCTGCTCACTTTTCAGTGTTCACTGATACGACTTTACGAACAAACAAGTATGTTTCGTTCATTAATCTCAAACAAAATTTTGAAGAAACAATTTTTTTTGTAGAGGACGCAAGATTTGAAAAGAAGGGAATATTACTTGGGGATTATCACCAAATTCTTGTAACTAATCGACAAGGAAACGTGTAGCAGTTAGAGAATTAATAATCAGATCTTGGGGAGTTAAGTGGTTGATTCATTAAAATTTTGGGTTTCTGTATCACTGCAGGCGTATTAGTGCATTGTCAATCCAAGTTCTTTTGGAACTCTGCAAGGATGAGAATGGGGATTTGGCATTAGGCAAGATGCTCGGCGCTGAACATGTGCCTCAGCCTCTGGGAGGTTTTAACTTCATTTTATCCTGCATACTAAGGACTGCAGCTGAATATTCAACTTGGCCGTGGTGGCTTGGGCGGCTGATGTTTCTGCGGAAGTTAATGGAGGAGTATGTCACGGAGTTTGAGCTTTCAGATGATTGTGTTTCTGTTCAAATGGACACAGCTGGTGTTCTTGTTCAAGGCAGAGGGAACAATGCCTCTGAAGACCCAAGTGAAATTTACCAAAGTAATGTCCGCCGGCTGATGTCAGTGTTGAAGTTTACCATGCAAGCAGCAAACTGTTCCCATAGCAAAGTCGGCAAACTGGCCATTGCTGTTCTTACTTGTTGTATGTCATTATCTTCTTGTGTACCCTCAGCTCAACAACACATTAAGAAAGTGGTTTCCAAACTGAAGCCCTCTCAACGCAGTTCGCTTAATCGTCAGCTTCAAGCGATTCCTAGGGCTAGTGTGACTACAGTGAGTCGCAGTGATTCTGTTTTTACTTATGAATCGCAAACAAGTATGGATCCGCCGTCTTCTACTTCCAGTAACCGGGACTCAGCCATCGGCAGCTTGCCTTCAGCCATGTCTGATGACGAGGCAGATAATTTTTCAGAGTCAGAGCTTCTTCAGGCTATTGTAGACAACTTCGAGAGACCACAGTCCTTGTGTCTATCGCCTTCATTTACCTTCTCCCCCAATGAGGAGGTTAATCTTGATTGGTCCAGATCTCTGGAGGACTCCCCAAGAATGCCCCCAGTGAAGCTGGCTGTTGGTAAGAAGTGCCAGGAGATCATCGCACAGGAAGAAGCAGAAGCTATGGCTAAAGCTATGGCTGTCTCTTCTCTAGACTCTGGGCCTTCCAGGATACCAAGCTTGGATTCAGGTGATGAGATGGTCATCATCTTTACTCAGCCAGAGGTGTGTTAGTCTTAAAATTTTACTCTTTTGAGCACTTTTCATTTGAATGTCGTGACACCAAAACCTTCTTAGCAATCAGATTGGTGGTTGACATGAAAGAGCAGCAATTGAGTTTCGAAAAACTAAAACCAAACTAATCCCAACGACCAATCAGAATCATAAGTTTACATAGTCATTAGCCAATGAGAACTCGAAGTGAAAATGAGCAAACTTCCTGAAACGCGGGAAAACGCGGGCGACCAAGTCGCGATTGTCTTTAATTTTGCATCTGATTGGTTGAGATGATGGTGCCAGTTTTCTGGACCAATCACAGAGCAAAGTGTTGTAAACCCAATGCAATCCTGGACTTCTTTCGAAGCTCAATTGAAGAGGGCTTTAAGGTAAAAAATGATAACTCAAAGAAAAAGTACAAAAGTGACTGAGGGTTGGAAGGAAGTTTTAGTCTGTGTGTTGATAGGGTAAGGAAATGTTTCGAGAGCAATCAGAGAGCTTGGTTAAATCAATCCAAGACAATCTCGGATGGACGTTTACCCACAAGTACATGTTTCTCAGCAAAATATCGCACGATTGAAATAATTAATTATAATGTAACGTCCACTTTGGTTTATTTTCGTAATTTTTAGGGAACAAAATTTATTTTGAAATTGATAGTCGTTTCGTTTAGTGTAGAAAAGATTTGCTTTCGCCACGGCAAAAATTATGAACATAACGGCAAAAGTTTGTGACCATCACGGTAACCACATGCGAGAGGTGGCAAGCGAGAAGCTTTCTCCTCAGTGGTATATCAGCTCGATTCATCAGTAATTATCTCTCGTTTCTAGGGATCTATCAGAGATGAAAAAGTGCAACTTAAGAGATCGCAATCTTTTTTTTGAGTTTGGGAAGAGATTCTCTTCCTATAGTAAATTGTTGATGTCACATTTCCTTTTGAAGATTTAGACTTCACTTTTGTCTCATCTGTTTTGCAGTCTCTGGAAAAGGCAGTCAATTCTAAACACCTTTATCTGGAGGGAGTTCATTGGAAGAAAGGGGAACTGTTAGGGACTGGGGCCTATTCATCTTGCTATGCTGTCAGAGATCTTATGAATGGGTCCCTTATGGCTGTCAAACAGGTACATTTACTCTAATCTCTTGATTGAAGTCAAAATTCTCCCTTGTAGCTGTCATTCATCTCCTTGGGAATTCGTTAAGAGAATTTGGTGAGCTCTGCGACTTTTCCTTCAAGACCATACAATTCTTCTGCTTCAGAGTAGTTTTCAGTCGAGTGTCGAAAAGCCAAAACCAACGTAATCACAGCGACCAACCAGAATAAAGGTTTACATCATCATCAGCCAATGAGAACTCAGAGTGTAAACGGGGAAACCGCTTGAAGCCCGGGAAAAAGGCCGGTGACCGAGTAGCGATTGTTGTAGTTTTGCATCTGATTGGTTGAAAGGATGGTGCGAGTTTTCTGGACCAATCACAGAGAAAAATTAAGTAACGCAATCTCAACGCTCAATTGAAAATTGCTTAATCCTTTATCACTAGGTTTCCTTTTGCCGCAATTCAGTGGAAGATCAGACCAAGGTTACACAGACCATTGAGGATGAGATCTCTCTGTTAGGAAGACTACAGCATCCACATCTGATTAAATGCCTCGGTGCAACGAAACACGCTGGACACTTCAACATCTTCCTGGAGTGGATGGCTGGTAAATTTTGTTATTTTGATTTTCATTTAGCCCCGCGTCAGGTGACAATCTCGTTGTGTTAGAGAGTGCCTTGTCCCTTCTCCCCAGAACTTACTGATTAACACTCTCCCAGGGTTAAATTTTAATCCAGGTGTTTTTTATTACATTATTCGAAAGCCTTTTTCGAATAATTTTCTCTTTAACTGGGCCCAGGGTTCTTATCCTAGGCTATATTAGTGAATTGTGTTCACGGGCAAAACACCCTGATTTCACAGAACCTCTCTCCACCCAGGAGTATAAATGGGTAGCGGCAAATTGTTAAGGAAACCTTACGAAATGTGGAGAGATGGGGATAACCCGCTAGTGAAAGGATGCAGCCAGCTGCTCCATGAGGAAAGGAAAGTGTTTTTTAGCTTCATCTCATGGAAACCAGGTTAAACGCCAGTGATATGGGTCACTGGGCTGCTGTACAGACTTTTCCAATGATTGGGGGAGTGGGGAGTGGCGATATAGGGTATTGAGTGGTTTGCGTTTCGTCCCACTCCTCTCGCGGCTTTGCCACTCGCTGTCTACGCTTAGTCGCCTGACGCTTTAAAGCGCACTGAAAACCGCTAGTGACACAGGCTGGGTATTGGGGTAAGAAAGTCTGTAGGACCTGGACAACTGATGGGTGTTGCACTACTCTCTGACCTCTTTTCTCTTGCCATGTTTTCTTGTAGGTGGATCAATCACAAAGCTTCTTACAAAGTATGGGCCGTTTGATGAGAAGATTGTGATCAGTTATACGAGGCAGATTCTTCAGGGAGTGGGATACTTGCATCAAAATCAAGTCATTCACAGAGATATTAAAGGTGAATGAACAGGATCAAACTAATGATGACCTCATCAAAACCATGGAAATAACCGAGGCCAATCAGAACAACAGCTGTGATTGCTTAACCCTTAAACTCCTAAGATCGGATTGCTAATTCTCCCTTCTAACTGCTATACATTTCCCTGTCAATTAGTTGTAAGAATTTGTTGTTAGATCAACATAACTTTTACCCAATAACTCTGAGTATTCTCATTACCCCTTTGTTGGATAATGTATGAATCTCATAGGGAGAAGTTACAGGTTAATCACTTCTGTGTAAGATTAGAACCGACACACGATGAAAAATCGCTCATAGGCGATGCTTCTTTTCAAGCTACTGGAAGTTAACACCTCTGCCCTCGGAAGGCTGCTACAGAGAGGTTTTTAGTACTTTTTCACAGAACGAGAAGTTAGACGTTATCTTTGCCAGATTTTTTGCTGTTAACTTGTATACTTCTCTTACAGTTCTCGTGTCTCATGAACTGTTATGATTTTTTTTGGTGACATAGGAGCAAACATCTTGGTGGATTCAACAGGCAAGAACATTAGAATAGCCGACTTTGGTGCTGCGGCAAGATTAGCAACACAGTTAACAGGAGCTGGCGAATTTCAAGGCCAGTTGCTTGGAACAGTCGCATTTATGGCTCCTGAGGTATGTGTGTTCGACAAACTTGATTGAAGTTGTTCAGCTTTGGTAATAGGTAATAAATGGGTAAGTCTTAAAAGAAACTGTGGTGCTGCGTCGGTGGGGGTTTTTACAAGATCATCTTAGTTTTATCAACTTAGTTGATTCTATAAATATGCCGCCGTATAGAGTTTCATAAGTTGACGTTTCGAGCGTTAGTCCTTCGTCATAGCGACGAATTTTAAGGATCTTAATTCCAACAAGCTCTTGGGAGAAAAAACTCTCAACTTCTGGCTACCGTCAGCGCTTCAATGATGTATTTGCCTTAGTTTCCGATTTGCTTTAAGGAAGATCGTAATTTTGAATTATTTACCAAGGGTAGATTATAATTCTGAATTGTTTACCTGTTGTCTTCCTTCAAGGTCCTACGTGGAGAGAGCTATGGACGAAGCTGTGATGTGTGGAGCGTGGGATGTGTTGTCATAGAAATGGTTACTGGAAAACCGCCATGGAACGCACATGAACATTCAAATCACTTGGCTCTTATCTTTAAGGTAGGACGACGTCATACAGAACTATGTAGTTCATGCGCATGCGCATCTGAAACACCCTTTTGTAACGTTGTTATCCATTGCTATGAAGTTATACCTTCATCTTAGCTTGCTCGTTTGTCTTGGAGCAATTTTCAAACGAGAGTCGAATTTAATCCGGGATTGCATGTTTTGGCTTTGCTACGCGCTATGATTGATCAAGGAAACTCGCGCCATCCTGTCAACCAATCAGATGCAAAAGTGAAAACAATCGCGTCTTGGTCATTCGCGTCTTCCCGTGTTTCAAACAATTTGTTTCACTTTGAGTTATTATGGGAGAACCGCTTGTGTGTTTTTTGGGACATACCTTGATCATCATTGTCTTTTTTTTTCTCAGATCGCAATGGCCGAGTCCCCACCCGACATACCAGAGAGCCTTGACCCAGCTCTTCGAGATGTGCTCCTGAGGTGTTTTGAATCAAAGCTAGACGAGAGACCGTCTGCTACGGAACTCCTTAGACATCCACTCTTTACTCAAATGTGAAAGGAAGTTAGCTACCAGCATTTTTTTTTCTTTAAACTTAGTCAACTTGAATTACTCAAGTGGAGCTGTAAGCTTCATTAACGCTGCGCACTCGGACATAAGCCCGACTTGTGACCGAGTCGTTTCACTTGATCCCGAATTAGTTAAAATCTTCCGGAAGGTCATAACGTTATGTGTGACGTTAGCATGTCTGAATGCAGAGGGGCAGAGTTGGATCCAGGAATTTTTGATTGAGGGATTTGATCTTTGATTCATTTTTTTTTCTTACACAAGAGCCTGATTAAGTGAGATAAATGTTTCAACCTTGGAAATTTAGCAGTAATATGCCATCCTGTCGTTGGAGGAATCATAGTTTCAGATAAGAAGTAAAAGTACCCACAGTTCTTATGGGAGGGGGTCCGCCCCCCCCCCCCTTCCCCTCCTGACCTTCCCCCTGGATCCACCTCTGTTTACGTTTGCCGAAGGACGTTTTTTTAAATGTTCATATTCGTTAATATTCGTACAAGAGCGAGAGCAAGGAAAAAAAAAAAAAACAAGATAACATTCATGAAGTAAAGCCACCTCAACTTTTTCCCTTCAACTTCTACTTTCAGCAACCGTATCACAATTTAAATCGAACTCCCAAAGCCTGATTAGCTTTTACATTCTTACCAGCCGTTTTTAGGAGAATCTACTTTTATAGTGGGGAGATGTTGAATTTTAATCACTTGATGATTTGAAAGATTCATCAAAAGACAATTTTTTTAAGGTTCTTACCGAAAATTTTATTCTGATGATACTTTCATAGATTGTACAGTTTTTCTTCCTCAACGAACTTTCGTGTGGGTGGTTTTTCCTTCTCCCCAACTGATTTGTACATATCTTAATCAGATTTCTATAGCCAGCATCCGTGATGTTTAACAAGTAGTTTTAAAAACTCCATCTTAAAGATCCAAAATCTCAGCCGTTTGTATTTTACAGTACGTTTTTAGGAAAACCAAAATTAGTTGAAATTATATGTAACATTATATTAGTCATTCCCAATGGCAGACTGCAAGTTTTTTTTGTCAGCGGTAGATCGCCAATGCAACGAAGGTGTTGTGTAACATTGTTTCAAGAAACAGTTGCTTTCTTCCTTGAACAATTCATACATTTTAAGGAATACGTAGAACGGTTTGCTTGAAACATGACTTGCATTGTGTGAATAAAGATTTTTTGAACTGAATTACTCTTTTTCTTTTCTGAGAGGGGCAAAAAGTTATGGAAAGTTAGTAACCGAAACATGTTAGTTCGTCTTTTAGTCACCCCGAAATTATGAATGGCTGGGAAAAAAAGGGATTTTCATGAGCCATCTCAAGATATTTCAAGTCTTTCTTTTTTTTTTTTTTTTTTTTTTTTTTTTTGTTTATTTACTTCGTTTGTGACCATGCGGAACTACCTTTAATTGGATGAACGCTTTTAAACAATTAGTTCTGAATGAAAAAATGCAAGCGCGAGGCGTTCGTGAAGGGCGATTACCGCGCGAGAGTAGTCGAATTGTTGCGTTCAAACCCTCGCGTGTGACACGCAATTCGCGCTCTCCGTCCGTGTTCTTTAATGTGGGCTTATAATGGAAAAGATTCGAACCGACTGCAAACAACGAACATTCTTTACTCAAAACGAGTCCTTAATTTTTAGTCCTCGGCAAATTTTTTTTTTTAGTGTATCATGTTCACCATCGCGCATGTTATACTCCACTGTATAGGTGATGAATCTGCTCTGGTAAAGCACTGCCAGTAGAAAGTATAAGGAAACCCCCAAAAACGAAGACCATATTCAGAAAATGGTCTTCGAAAATGGTCTTCGAAAATGGTCTTCGAATGTATACGCTTTTAAAACACTGTGACTCGCTGTCTTATGTGGTTTTGGTAACCCGTGTGAGAGACAACTTAGTCCCGTGACAGCCTGAAAGCGCGCCTCCATAGCGTTCGCACATGCGCAGACGTTTGACCACTAAGTTAGTTATGGTATATATTGCATTTAGGCCTGGGACTAAATGATCAAAAGATTTAAGGGGGTCTCAATTTGGCGAAGGCTTTTACGGCTAACAGTGAAAATTTTGGCCAATTTACAGCTAACGGCTGATATCGTTCCATTGTAGTTAGAAAAAAAGTTTTTTTCACGTTTGACTTTTCTTTACGCCTAACAGCAACAAGAAACAGAAACAACCAATCTAAGTGGAGAGAGTTTCTTCTTACCAATTGATTCCATTGCAAACCATTGCAAACCATTGCAAAGGAAATTCTTTTCGTCCCATAGGGGAGCGTCTTTGTTTCTAGGCTTGATCTTTGCAGTGCGTAGGACACCTAAAACATGACTTTAAAATTCAGCCAATTATGTTGACAAGTTCCCCGCAGCTCAGTGGGTAGAGCATCTGACCGCACCATGTTGCGGTCCGTGGTCAGGGTTCAATCCCTGGCGCGGGGAAACTTGTCATTTTTGTTCCTTTTTTGCTTACTCATCATATTTTTCTTCTTGCTGATAATACGTCTCTGATATCTTTATATACTTTATATACTGATATACTGATATCATTTATCTTAAAATAGATTGCTTGCTTTTGCTCAAAATGTGAAATTGACGAGATGCATCAGAACAAAAATTATACATATTCTATGAGAGTCTCAATTGGGCGATGGCCGTTTACGGCTAACGGTTGAAGCGTTTGGCCAATTTACGGCTTTTTAATGGTTAATATCTTTCCATTCTTTACGTTTCGCTTTTCTTACAACTAACGGTAAAAACTTTTCAATTTTTACGCCTAACGCCTAATGTTTTGCCGTTTTACGGCTATCGGTAAACCCCACTAAGACCTTTCTAATGAAAAAAGGAACAGAAACAGGGACAAATGAATAAAGGGGGTAAGTTTATAAAGAAACTGTGGTGCTGCGTCGGTGGGAGAGTATTGCAGGTAGTTTTTGAGCCGTAACAGCTGAGTTGAAACGAAAATTAGCCACCGTAAAGAGTAAAAAAGCTGACGTTTCGAGCGTTAGCCCTTTGACAATCGCTCTGACGAAGGGCTGGCGCTCGAAACGTCAGCTTTTTTACTCTTTACGGTGGCCAATTTACGTTTTCAACTCAGTTGTTAACACTAAATGACCAGAAACAGAAACAGCAAATCTAAGTGGACAAGATTTCTCATTACTAGGTGAGTCCATTGCAAATCATTGCAAAGGAGATTCTTTTCGTCCTATAGAAGAGCAACTAAGTTTCTAGTCTTGATCTTTACAGCGCGTAGGATGCCTAAAACATGTCTTTAAAATTCAACCGTTAATGTTGACAAGTTCCCCGCAGCTCAGTGGGTAGAGCATCTGACTGCACCATGTTGCGGTCCGTGGTCGGGGTTCAATCCCTGGCGCGGGGAGTGACGGGAGTCTTGTTATTTTGATTTCTTTTTTGCTTCTTTCATCATGTCTTTCTCCCAACTGATAATACGTCGTTGATGTCCTCATATACTGTTACACATATCATTTATCATCGAATAGATTACCTACTTTTGCTCAAAATGTGATATTGTGGTGATGCATCGGAACAAAGAATATTTATGTTATAAGAGGGTCTCAATTGGGTGATGGCTGTTACTGCTAACGGTTAAAATTTTAACCAATTTACGGCATTAATATCTTTCCATTGTGGTCGTCTCCAGAGAGTGTTGTAACGTTTCACTCTTCTTACGACCAAAATCGATTAAAATTTTTCAATTTTTTAAGCCTAACAGGAAAATTTTTGGCCGTTGTACGGTTATCGGTTAACCCCATTGAGATCCTCCAATAAAAAAGAGGAACAGAAACGGCAAATCTAAGTGGCCAGAGTTTCTTTTTACCAATTGAGTCCATTGCAAACCATTGAATCGAGATTCTTTTCGTCCTATGGAAGAGCGCTTATGTTTCCAGGCTTGATCTTTCCAGTGCTTAGGACACCTCAAACATGACTCTAAAATTCAGCCTAAAATGTTGACAAGTTCCCCGCAGCTCAGTGGGTAGAGCATCTGACCGCACCATGTTGCGGTCCGTGGTCAGGGTTCAATCCCTGTCGCGGGGAATCTTGTCATTTTTATTCCTTTTTTGCTTACTCATCATATTTTTCCTCTTGCTGATAATACGTCTCTGATATTTTTATATACTGGTACACATATCATTTATCTTCAAATAGATTACTTGCTTGTGCTCAAAATGTGAAATTGAGGTGATGCATCAGCGCAAAAATTATACATATTAGAAGCGGGTCTCAATAGGGTGATGGCTTTTATGGCTAACGGTTAAGATTTTAGCCAATATACGGCTTATTAACGGTTAGTATCTTTCCATCATGGTTGCCAAAAATATCTTTACGTTTCACTTTTCTTACAACTAACGGTCAAAATGCGTCAATTTTACGCCTAACAGCTAATTTTTATGTCGTTTTACGGCATCAGTTAACCCCATTGAGACCCTAAAAAGGAAACAGAAGCAGCTAATCTAGTGAACAGAACTATTTCTTACTAATTGACACCATTGCCAACCATTGCAAAGGAGATTCTTTTCGTCCTATAAAAAGCGCCTATGTTTCTAGGCTTGATCCTTGCAGTGCGCAGGTCCTAAAACTTAATTTAAAAATTCAACCGGTAACGTTGACAAGTTCCCCGCAGCTCAGTGGGTAGAGCATCTGACCGCACCATGTTGCGGTCCGTGGTCAGGGTTCAATCCCTGTCGCGGGGAATCTTGTCATTTTTATTTCCTTTTTGCTTTTCTCATCATATTTTCTCCCTTGCTGATGATACGCCTTGATGTCCTCATATACTAATACAAATATCATTTATCATCGAATAGATTGTTTGCATTCGCTCAAAATGTAAAATTAAACGGTTAAAATTTTTTTGGCCAATTCACGGCCAGCAATTAATATCTTTCCATTGTGGTCACCGGAATGGTTTTTTTATTATGTTTAACTTTTCGTACCTTGATCAAAAGTATAGCAGGGAGACGAATAGCAGAGGAATGTATTTGAGGACAGCATATCGAAATCCAATGTGACCGTTGGATACAATGAAAAGAGTATTCAGGAAAGACGTATTTGAAAACGCACAGCAAAACTTATTTGCCGGAGAACACAAGTGGGAACGCAAAATGGATGTTTTATTTTTCTACATAAGTACTATGTCGGTCAAAATGATGGCCATAACTTCTTCGTTAATCAACTTTTTTTGGCATATTCTCGCTTCATCTTTTTTCATTTCCATAACAAAGCTTTCCAAAGCCTGCAAGGACATGTGATAAAAAACTGCAATTGTCGATTGGCTGCAGGTTTTTAATTAGTATTCAGAAAACCGATGAACATTCCACACACCAAGAGGTTCGTCAAGGAGGAAGGACGCCAAAATGTTTTCTGACGGAAAATCTATGTCCATCCTTGGTAAACGAGAGCTTTGAAGACAAAGAACCAACAACCTAGAACTGAATTAAACATGGTAAGTTGCTGCATTGTATATATTCACAACTGAAAAATTTCTGCCAAAACTGAATATTTCTATCTGGTTGACTGACGTTCTTAGCACGTGCTGGGGTTTCAATCGTTTCATGTCTACCTCGAATGAAAATGACCTTTAAGTTTTGTGACCCTTGAATTCTGCTTTAATTTGAGCCCTTTGGTGTTTTTCTGCGGCCTTTACATATGAAAATTCGCTTCTAATTTTTCAGTCTAGTTTTCGCCTCGAAATAGCCGTGTCAGTGGAAGAGGACTTAAAAATGTTTAAACGTACAGTGGCGCCCTTCAACATGTTAAATGAAATCTTTTATTTACTTGTGCAGGGTGAAATTCTAGAGGTATTGATGACTACTGAGGAGAGAGCTATCCAATAAATAAATACAAAGGTGAGCACACGAGTTTTAAGACTTAGATCTGGTTTCTTGGAAAATTTCACCAAAGTCGTATCAGAAAACCATGTCAACGTGGCAAACTGTCAAAAATTTGAAGAGGTTGGTGTAGATTATCTAACAGGAAATTCTCTCTTGATGTTACTCAGAGCTACCATTCAATCTTGGCAACATTGCAAAGTTAATTCTTAAGAAAGTTCCGATTGTAAAATCTTCCCCTCTAGCTGTTACACATTTCCTTGTAAATTAGCTTCGAGAATTTGGTGTTAGATCTAAAATTAAAATCTAAAAACTTCTATTTC